GTCTTCCTCGTTAAGGGTGGCGTCTTGGCTCTGCAAGGTCAAGCCTATCGCGAGACTTTTTTCATTTAAATCAATGCCTTTGCCTTCATAGACATCAAATAACCTGAACTCAACCAGGATCTCACCGAGCGCTTCACGCACCACTGCTTCCACCTCTGCGGCGGTAACCGCCTTATCGACCACCACAGCAAAATCCCGTCGCACGCTGGGATAACGCGATAAGCCGGTAAACACCCGCCGTGGCCGCGACAGGATACTCTGTGCATCCAGCTCAAAGACAAACACGCCGCTCAGCTCCAGGCGGTTTTCAACTTCGGGATGCAAACGCCCGAAGCGACCGATGGGTTGCCCATTAACCAGCAGATTCGCGCTCTGCCCTGGATGCAGCACCATGTCATCCGCCCGTTCAACCTGCACATTAGACAATCCCGCCCAGTTGCAGAGATCATCTACCAGACCTTTGAGGTCATAGAAATCGACATTGTCACTGCCCGCATGCCAGTTTTGCGCCTGGCGTCGTCCCCATAACAGACCAGCCACCATCATGCGCTGCTTAAGCCCCTGGGAATCTGGCAAAAAGGTCTGGCCAACTTCGAATATCCGCACCTGATCCTGCTGTCGTGCCTTGTTGTTCTGCGCGGCATCCACGAGGCCTGGCAGCATGTTGGTACGCATAACAGACTGTTCCGAAGACATGGGGTTTGCCAATGCAAGCGGGGCAACCTGCGGGTCAAGCAGGTCCTGCAAGGCTGGGTCTATAAAGGTGTAGGTGATCACCTCCTGTAACCCCAGGCCTGCCAGGTGGCGCTTCAGCGCGGCCTCTGAGTTCTGCTCTATATCAATAGAACGCAATTCGAGCGCCGCAGTCGGGTTCTTACTGGGGATGTTGTTGTAGCCGAAGATCCTGCAGATCTCTTCTACAAGGTCGGCTTCTATGGCGATATCAAAACGATGGCTGGGCGGCACAATGGTCCAGCTTATATCGCCATCTTTGTCGCTGCGCTCGATGACTTTGAAATCTAACCGCGCAAAGGCGTCATCCACCTGCTGAGCCTCAACTGCGGTGCCCAGTAGCTGCTGCAAACGGCGCTGACGCAAGGTCACGGGCTGCGCACTGGGCAGCTGTTCACTGGCCACCACTTCCGTCACCGGACCGGGCTCACCACCGACAATATCAATCAGCAACTGCGTAGCGCGCTCCATCGCCACAGCCTGCAGTTCATAGTCCACACCACGTTCATAACGATGGGAGGCATCGGTATGCAAACCATAGCGTCGCGCAGTGCCTGCAATGGCCAGCGGGCTGAAAAAGGCACACTCAAGAAACAGATCTTCGGTGTTTGTCTGCACACCGCTGCGTTCACCGCCCATGACGCCCGCGATAGCAACCGGGCCATTGGCGTCCGTGATCAACAGGGTCTGCTCATCAAGATCCACATCCTGGCCATCCAACAACGTCAGATTGTCGCCTGCCACCGCATTGCGGACAACAATGCCATCGGAGATCTGGTTCAGGTCGAACGCATGCATGGGCTGGCCGAGCTCAATCAGCACATAGTTGGTCACGTCAACGGCAGGGTCAATACTGCGCAAACCACATCGTCGCAGACGCTCGCGCATCCAGGCCGGCGTGGGTTTTGTCAGATCGATACCTTTGATCACACGACCCAGGTAGCGTGGGCAACCCTCGGGATTGGCCAGCTCAACCGTGAAGGTTTCATTGTGAGTCGCTGCGACAGCGTCTACCTGCGGGTAAGCGACCGTCAGGTTGTTAAGCACACCGACTTCCCGGGCCAAACCTCGTAAACTCAAGCAATCACCGCGGTTAGGTGTCAGATCAACATCAACCGTGACGTCGTCCAGCGCGTAAGCGGTAAAGAAATCAGCGCCGACGGAAAGCGCTTCGGGCAGTTCCAGAATGCCATCATGATCATCACCCAGCCCGAGTTCAGCGGCGCTACACAACATGCCAAACGACTCAACGCCGCGCAGCTTTGCCTTTTTGATTTTGAAATTGTCGGGCAGGACCGCGCCCACTTTTGCGTAAGCCGTCACCAGACCCTTACGTACGTTAGGCGCACCACAAATAACCTGGTGGCGCTCCTTGCCATCAAAAACGCTGCACAAAGAAAGCTTGTCCGCATCCGGGTGTTTTTCGCAGCTTTCTACTAAGCCCACAACCACACCAGAAAACGTCTCCGCCACGGGCTCAACACCGTCCACTTCCAGACCGGCCATGGTGAGTTGCTGCAATAAGTCTTCACGAGCAAGATCGGGATTAACCCATTCGCGCAACCATGCCTCACTGAATTTCATATCCTTCTCCGACTAGTTGAATTGACGTAGAAAACGCACGTCGTTTTCAAAAAACAGACGCAGATCGTCCACCTCATACAACAACATTGCTAAGCGATCACCACCAAAACCAAAAGCAAAGCCGGAATACACTTCTGAATCTATACCGGACATTTCCAGCACATTCGGATGCACCAGACCGCAACCCATGACCTCGAGCCAGCCCGTGTGGCTGCACACACGACAGCCGTCGCCCATACAGTGCACACACTGCACATCCACCTCTGCAGACGGCTCAGTAAAGGGGAAATAAGAGGGTCGGAAACGAACCGCCAGATCTTTTTCAAAAAACTTACGGATGAAATCAGTAACGGTGCCTTTAAGGTCAGCAAAACTGATGTCTTTGTCCACTACCAGCCCTTCTACCTGATGAAACATGGGGCTGTGCGTTAAATCAGAATCACGCCGATAGACGCGACCCGGGCAGATCACCCGTATTGGTGGCGTCTGATTTTCCATAGTGTGCACCTGACTGGGCGAGGTATGCGTACGCAGCAACTGGCCGTCACCAAAATAGAATGTGTCGTGCATGGCTCTGGCAGGATGGTGGGCAGGAATGTTCAGTGCTTCAAAATTGTAATAGTCGTTTTCGACCTCTGGCCCGGTCACTACCGAGTAGCCAGCACCCACAAATATTTCTTCGATGCGATACATCGCCTGGGTAACAGGGTGCAAGCCACCTTGATCCGGGTGGCGACCCGGCAGGCTGATATCTACGGATTCCTGAGCCAGTGACTGCGCCAGCTGAGCCTGCTCCAGATTGTTTTTGCGCAGATCCAGGGTCGCCTGGAGGGCTTCTTTGGCTTCATTGATTTTGGCCCCGGCAGCTGGACGCTCCGATGCGTCGAGTTTGCCCAGACCTTTCAACAAGCCGGTCAATTCGCCTTTTTTACCGAGATAGGCAACGCGTACTTCATCCAAGGCGCGCAGATCTTCAGCGGCCTCTGCGGCCTGCAGGGCTCTGGCCAGTATTTCCTGTGTATCCATCATGTGTCCAAGTCGTTAACGTCTACCGATACTTCTTCGTTAAAAAAGTCGCCAAAAAAAAAGGAAGAACCTGAGTCCTTCCCTTCATTGCACGCACAGCATTTCGGCAAGGATTCCTGATTAAGGTCTCCTGAGAAACTGTGTGTTGCTGCTAGGCAGTGTGCTGCCGCTATGCTGCGGCTGCGCTTTGTGCGGATTTGGCGCGCTCAGCAAGCGCGGCAAAAGCCTCTTTTTCGTGCATGGCAATATCGGCCAGCACTTTACGGTCAACTTCTACACCAGCTTCTTTGAGACCGGCTATAAACCGGCTGTAAGACAGGCCGTGTTCACGGGCTGCTGCGTTAATACGCACAATCCAGAGCTGGCGAAACTGGCGCTTACGCTGGCGACGGTCACGATAGGCATATTGGCCTGCGCGAATAACCGCCTGCTTGGCGACCTTAAATGTACGACTGCGCGCACCGTAATAACCACGGGCGGCTTTTAAAATCTTTTTACGACGTGCTCTTGAAGCCACGCCACGTTTTATTCTCGGCATGGTTTACTCCTATCGAGCTTTGGTGGGAATCAGTTGACGCAACCCTGGCACGTCTGCAGCAGCAACTCCGGTGAGTCCTCTGAGCTGACGCTTACGCTTGGTACTTTTTTTCGTCAAGATGTGATTCTTGTTCGCTTGCTTGTGCTTGTAGCCGCTGGACGTTTTACGAAAACGCTTCGCTGCACCACGATTGGTTTTAAGTTTTGGCATTGGCCTCTTTCTCCACGCAATTGTTAAAACCGCTTTTTAAAAGCGGCTTAGGGCACGATCCGGTACGAAAGCTAGTGAAAACTTGCGGGCGTTAGCCGTCAGCTCTTCTTATTCTTTCTGGGTTGCAAAACCATGATCACCTGCCGGCCTTCAAATTTAGGTTCAGATTCAACCTGACCTAAATCATCGAGATCTCCAGCAATGCGCTTCATCAATTCCATTCCGATTTCGGGGTGAACAACTTCACGCCCACGAAACCTCAATGAAATCTTGGCTTTATCACCCTCTTCTAAAAAGCGTCTCAGGTTGCGTAGTTTCACCTGATAATCGCCTTCTTCCGTTCCGGGTCGAAATTTAATTTCTTTGACCTGGATCTGCTTCTGTTTTTTACGTTGCGCTGCTTTGGTCTTTTTCAGCTCAAACAGATGCTTCCCATAATCCATCACCTTGCAGACTGGTGGCTCGGCCTCAGATGCTACCAGCACCAGATCCAGACCACTCGCGCGTGCCTCTGCCAGCGCTTCCTCGCGTGATACCACGCCTCGTTGAGATCCGTCTGCGGCGACCAGACGTACGTTGCTTGAACGAATTTCTTCGTTGAGTAACGAACGCTCGGCTCGCTTCATTCCTTTCTTAATAGGTCTCTCCCGCCATACACTCTGAAGTACTGGCTGCTCATAACACCGTCGACCAGCGACAGCAAACGGCCGAACGCGCCTGGCACCCCTTTCCGATGTCAGCGTGATCAGCCACTCTTTTTACCATTTTCCATGCACACCTGCTCTTGGCGCAGACTTGTGCAGGCGCGCATTCTACTGCCGGTTTTGCAGCGCTTCAAGCACAGTTTTTTAATAGAAATTAGGTAGTTAGTCGCCAATGCACCCTGGCGATCAGGCAATGATTGATTATTTCAGAAGAACAGGCAGGTCGCGCGCACTTCTATACTGCGACGAGCCGGAGCATTATCACCGGCAGTGTCATCCAGAAATGCGGAATGGGGCGTCCAGTAAGGCGTTCCAGCTGCCACCATTTCGCTGTCAAAGGTGCGAAACGCAACGGCTTCATCGCGGGTCATGTTGGGAAACACGTACCAGTCATGTGTTTCCTGGGAGGCAGGTGGTGTTACAGCAAAAGTATCAAAAGCAAAATCCCCACCAGCATAATTGGGCACATGGATCGAATGCATATCGGCGCGAGGCACACTCTGCGCATCGCAGAAAGCGAGCGGATAATCCATCTGCTCGGGCCCGACATTGCGCCAGAACTGCAGAATCAACAGGCGTTTGGCGCGCGCCATGTCCTCGACAGTGATCCCGGATGAAGACAGCGCAGCGTCTGCCTCTGCTGAGTTCTGGCGGTAGCGCTGGATCAGCAGATCGTCATAGTTATCGGTGAAATCGGAATGTACAAATGCTATGGGCGCGTAATCTTCATGCAAATCAGCTTGTTCGGGATTGCGGCTGATATGGCCTGCCACCAGCGCATGATCGCAGCCGGTCAGTGCGCGGGCGAGATTCGACATTTCGTCGTAATACACGCGCGCGACCTCTGCATCGTTTGACCAGTTCTGCACATCGCTTGTGCTGTTGATCAATTCAAAGCCATTTTCCTGCCAGGATAAATGATGCGCACGCCGGCCATTCTTAATGCTGACCTCGACTGGTACGGTCTGCAATCCACCAAGGTAGTTCATGGTGGCCTGACAATAATCAGATTCCAGCTGCATTAGAGCTCCTGAGATTCCGGCAACGAACTTATAGTAGCGCTGATGCACAAATCAAATCGATACCCACGTGCTTCGCTGCGAATCTCGGCTAAGTCAGTTATCTAACCTCCCAGCCCTATTTGCAAATATCTATCATTTTAGTATTGATAATCATTCTCATTTAGAGGATATTGCGTCCCTCTACCGCGGCTTGAAAGCCGAATTTATGTGGGATCTAAAATGCAGTTCGTAATATTAAAGCCGCGCGCCAGCATCTGTGCGCTTATCCTGGGCTTCGCTGGGTTCGCCAGCACCACACAGGCCAACGAAGGCGCAACTTTTTTTGAAGAAGAAATGACCATCGTCGGTGAACCGCTGCGGGGCGAACAGGTCGCCGGTAGTGCACACTATGTGAGCGCTGAGCAGATTGAACAGCTTGGTCACAATGACATTCAACGCATTGTCCGCCAGATTCCCGGCGTCTCAGTACAGATAGAGGACGGCTATGGTCTGCGCCCGAACATCAGCATACGTGGCGTCGCCACAGAACGTAGCGGTCGAATCACACTGCTAGAAGACAACGTACTGATTTCACCCGCACCCTACTCTGCACCCAGCGCCTACTATTTTCCAACCATCGGTCGCATGTCTGCCATTGAAGTACTCAAAGGTCCTGCATCAATCACTCAGGGGCCCTACACCATCGGTGGCGCCCTCAATATGATCTCTGTGCCGATACCTGAGATCGCCAGCGGCAGAGTCACCCTGGAGGCCGGAGAAGATGCAACCTATCGTTTGCATGCTCATTATGGCGCGCGCAACGATGCCGGATTTGGCTATCTTGTGGAAACTCATCAGTGGCAGTCAGATGGATTCCAGTCTATCGACAGAGGCGGTGATACCGGCCTGGACGTAGAGGACTACACCGTTAAATTGAGTTACGCACCGGATAACGCTAATCACCGCGTAGAACTGAAGTTACAGTACGCTGAACAGGATTCAGATCAGACTTACCTCGGTCTCACCGATGATGACTTTCGTGACGATGCATTCCGTCGTTACGGCTTGTCTGCCTTGGATAACATAGCCACCCAGCATGAACAGGTCATATTACGTTACGAATGGGATATCAGTGACCGTTTGAATTTCGACGCCACGGCTTACAACAACACCCATGAGCGAAGCTGGTTTAAAACTGAAGGCATCGATTTCGACGGCTCAGCAGATGCAGAAAGTTTCTCCCGCACCAGCTGGTTTGATGTTGTACAGGCGGTGAACAGTGGCGAAGCCCTCGGCGGTCTGGACAGCGATCAGTTACAGGGCATTCTGGACGGCAGCATTGATACACCCGCCGGAAGTCTGCAACTGCGCGCCAACGACCGCGAATATTTTTCGCGCGGTATCCAGCTCGGTCTGGATTGGAATGTCTTGATCGGTGACTGGTCTCACTCCATAGAAGTTGGCTTACGCATTCACGAAGACGAAGAAGACCGCCTGCAACGTAACAGCAGCTATAGCCAGATATCTGGCCAGCTGGTCCGCGATGATATTGGTTTATTAGGCAATGCCGGTAATCGCGTTCAGGAAGCGCAGGCGCTTGCCATACATATCTACGACCGCATTGAAATTGGCAACTGGACGCTGACCCCAGGGTTGCGTTTTGAAGACATCGAACAGGAACGCACACGCTGGGAGATACGTCCTGGCAGCACACTGGACCCAGCTTCACGCAGTGCTGACAATCTGCGGGACAAACGTTCGAATGACACCACTGTGTGGCTACCCGGCATGGGTGTCATCTACAGCGTCAACGATGAGCTGAGCGTGTTTGCCGGCATCCACAAAGGGTTCACCGCACCAAGCAATGCACCTGGCGTGGATGAAGAAGAAGCCATCAACTACGAAATCGGCGTACGCTTCGGCGATAACAATTTACGCGTTGAAGCTGCCTACTTCTTAAGCGACTACGATAACTTGTTAGGCGAATGTACCGCCTCATCCGGCTCAGACTGCGAAATAGGTGACGCCTTTAATGGTGATGCTGTCACCGTGCAGGGTTTCGAGATGCTGTTGGGTACAAACCTGAACCCGACAGGTGAGATTGCGATACCCCTGGCACTCGCCTACACCTTCATCGACAGCAAATTCGATACGGACATTGGCAACACCGACTTTTTTGGCGATGTGAGCAAAGGTGACCCCATTCCTTACATCCCGGAAAACCAGCTGAATGTGTCACTTGGTTTAGTCGGCAGCGATTGGGACATCTACCTGGCCGCAAACTATGTGGATGAAGTCTGTGTGCGCGCATCCTGCGGCGCCTTTGAAAAGACCGACAGCACCCTGAGTGTTGACCTTTCAGGCAGCTACAACCTCAATCAAGCCACCGAATTGTTTGCCCGGGTAGAAAACCTCACCGGTGAAGAAGACATCTTAGGCCGCCAACCCTACGGCGCCCGACCTAACAAAGATACGACAGCATCGGTTGGCGTCAGGTTCACGTTCTGATCTTTTCCGTTCTGGTCTAAGATGGGCGTCCGCCCATCTGACTTACTTCTGAGAACACAACATGAATCGCAGCTTCTGGATAAAAGCCCACCTTTTCGCAGCCGCTTTTTTTGCACCGGTGCTGGTCGTTATCGCCACATCCGGTGGCCTGTACCTGCTTGATATAAAAGGTAGCGTTGAAGAAATCACGATACCAGCACCCGCTGGGGCCTCTCTGGACCTCAACTCTGCGACCCTGGAACAGGACGTCAGCCGTCTGCTTGCCGATGCGGGTATCACCCACAATTTTGAATACCTGCGTGCCGGAGGCAATACTCTGACAACACGTCCAACGTCCAGAACCTACTACGTCATAGAAGCAACTGCGGACGGCGTTGGAATCAGCAGAAACGTACCCAGCTTGCAGAAACGCCTGATCGAATTACACAAAGGTCATGGACCTGTGCTGTTCAAAGAATTTCAGAAAATTATGGCGGCAGCCCTGCTGTTTGTGCTGCTCAGCGGCGCCTGGCTGGGTCTATCGTCTAAAGGTTTACGCAACAAAACGGTTGCCACTATGGGCGGCGGCCTGCTCGTTTTTCTGGGGCTTGTATTTCTTATGTGAAAACCAGCTGGCCGTTCCAAACTGCTGGCCAAAGCATCTAGCGCGCGTAGGTTTTCTGTAGATAATCCAGAATGTCGGACGACTCTGCTAACTCAACACCTGTGTTGGGATCCACCAGGTAGGGAATCGAAATAAGCCCTACCCTCGCCTGCAGAGCCTGCCGGTTACGAGTGGCCGGTTCGGCCTGTTCAGTTTGGGCCTTGCGCATTGCCGGCGGCACCCAATCTGCCAAACGCGCGCGACCAACGGATCGCAGGATGTAAGGCAGTTCCATCTCACACAACAGATCTCGCACCGGGCGCGCAAAAGGGCTCGACTCAAAACTATAAAGCTCCAGAGGTTGTGCTGGTGCTCTGGAGTTTTTCACCACCACACCCTGGCCCATTCGAGGCACAGCAGCCAGTACAGAACTGAAGCGCTGAAGCTCTATGGCCTGCCAGTGCCAGGGTTTAGGACGACCCGCATAGGTCGCAAACAGATAATCGATGATATCCGACGATTCATACATACGGACGTCTGTATTCGGATCAACCAGATAGGGAAACTGTGCTTTGCCGCCTTGTTCAATGACTTCATCTCGATAACGATGCCCACCTTTGGGACAGGGCAGGATCAACGCATCGATATCCAGCTCCGTGAGCACTTCACGCACCAGTCGGCAGTGCGGGCAGCCTTCGAACTCGTACAGTTTCAACAACTGAGCCGGCATACTGGACGCAGGCCGGGCAGATACGCCGGCACCCCCGCGCAGAAACGTTGCCGCCAGCGAGGTCGTGATGTTCAAAGGATAAAAGAACGACATAAAGGAGCCTTAGGGAGAGGAGTTTTCAGCGGCGTCATCATACAGCACACCCTCATCGTAAAGCTGAGAAATACGCGCCTTTTCTATGCCCAGCTCAGCCAGAATTTCCGCATTGTGCTCACCCAGCCCCGGCGTGTGCGCATGTACATTACTGGGGGTGCGTTCAAACTGCGCAGGGGGCCGCGGCGATCGAACCTCACCCGCGAGCGGATGTTCATAGCGCCACAAAGCCTGCATGGCCTGTATTTGCGGATCATCCACAACTTCGTCACGCATGTTCACGCGCGAGTACGGCACATCGTTTGCTTCCATGCGCTCCACCAATTCGTCCGTAGAGAACTTTGCGTACGCTTCATCCATGAGCTGCTTCATCAGCGTGCGATTGCGCGCGCGCGCTTCAAATGTGTTGAAGCGTTCGTCATCAATCAGATGCTCAACTCCAAGAGCGCGGAAAGCACCCAGCAGTTCAGCCTGTTGCACCGGCATCACCGCTATCCAGCCATCAAGGGTGCGGCGCAGGAACAGGCTGTGGTCGAGATATGGAATTTTTTCTACTCCCGGGTCCATAAAAGTGAAATTGGTCATCACATCAGGCCACAGGAAGTAGAGATTGGCATCGAGCATAGACAGCTCTACCCGCTGGCCCTGACCTGAACGTTCAGCCTGGAACAGTGCAGCCGTCACTGCCTGGGCAGCAGTCAGCGAGGTCACTTTGTCACAAACCAGCGAGTTGACCATGGCCGGATCACCTTCCGGTTGCAGCGTTGTGAAACCGGAAATAGCCTGAATCACAGCGTCGTATACGCGTCGGTTGGCATACGGCCCCACTGAACCAACACCATTAATCGACACGTAAACCAGTTTAGGTTGTTCAGCTTTAAAGCTGTCATAACCAATACCCAACCTGTCCATGACGCCGGGGCGGAAATTTTCCATTACCACATCTGCGGTGCTGACCAATTGACGGGCAATCTCGCGTCCTGCATCAGTTTGCAGATTTAGACAGACGGATTTTTTGTTGCGATTCATAGCCGCAAACGCGCCACCCAGGCCATTACTTTTGGGTAGCCCGCGGCGCATCAGGTCGCCTGCAGCGGATTCAACTTTGATCACCTGCGCACCCTGATCTCCCAGGATCGAAGCGGCGATCGGACCGGAATAAACCGCGGTAAAATCAATCACTCGCACGCCGGCCAGCGGACCCGTTGGTTTGCCACCCAGATCTACTCTTTGTGTCATTTATGTTCTCTCTTCCCCATTGCCTCAGCCTCGGAGCTTAACCCAGCAAGGTTCGAAAACGAGGACTATTTGAGCAAACGCCAACCCAGAGCGGTCAGAAAACAGGCAGCACGCCATTTCTGGCCTAAACTTGCGGTATGGCGAGTAAAAGTCAGCAAATGGTCCGCTTTATGACGCTGGGGTTTACCTTAGTGGAGTTGGTCGTGGTCATTTTGTTAATCGCCATACTTGCCGCTGTGGCACTGCCACGCTTCATCAACATCGATGACGATGCGCGCTTAGCGCGTGCGGAAGCGACGGTTGCGGCTTTGCAATCCAGCGCCCAACTCGCCCATTCTGTCTGGCAGCTGCAGGCAGGTGGTCGCCCCGCTGAAAATCTCCCGGTGTTTGGTCCTGGCACAGATGGTCAGATCGATTTCAACGCCAACGGCTGGCCATCGCAACAATGGTTTGGGGGGATTGAAGCCAATCCCAGCCTGAACAATGTCGCTGACTGCATATCGATATCAAACGCCCTTTTACAGGGCAGCGTAACGATTGCTTTGACCAGCGACGCAGATGTGCAACCGGCTTATCTAGGGGGTGGGGTTTGCCGCTATACGTTTACCGATGCGCCGACGCTGTCGTTTGAGTACAACTCGAACACGGGGGCAGTCAGCAAAAACTTTTAGAACGGGCCAGCAGACGACGCTACTGTTGTGAAATCTGCGGTCCTTCTGCAAGCACAACCTCTTCAGGTGCCTGCACAATGCCCTGGGCATCAACAAGATAATAGCCGCGACTGTGCATACACTGGAAAAACGGGCCTTGAGTATCGACACCAAGTTGCTGACCCTGCTGCGCAACAATTTCGGTACATTCACCGGCATCGAAGGAAAACAGGTATTCGCCACCCATCGGGTGGTACCAGGAGAAGGTCGGTGTCTGGCTTGCGCATCCGGAGATGGCCAGCAAAGCAACTGTAATCAGGGCTGTCTTTCTCATGCGGGCATTATGTGGCCGCTATGTGACAGAATTATGAATTCACAGGCTCATTTTAATGCCGAGGCTGTAGTTTACGCCCGGTCGATATTTTTCATAAACCCGGCCGCCCTGAGTCCACTCAACGTCTGCATCCAGCAGATTCTGGAGCTTAAATTCAAGCTCTAAGTCGGTTTGCCACATGACAAAATTGTACTTCAGCAGAAAGTCGAGTTTGCCAAACGCCTCTTCTATCACATCCGGCGCATTCACAGCGCCAACCAGCGCGATACGCTCACCGGTATAATTGTATGCCAGGGACCCTTCTATACCGGTTTCGTAATTCGAGTAGCTGATCATCAGGTTACCCAGCAGATCGGACTGTCCAGTTAACTGACGCTTGTTTTCGAATACCGAGTCCAGCCCACGGCCACCCGTAAGTGGCACATCAGCCGCAGTTTCACCAGGCCCGAACAGAGTCACTTCCGAGTCAATGAACGAGACATTCGCTGTCAAGGTGAACAGATCCCAATCCGGCCCCCAATCGAACCAACGATCAAAAAAGAGATCTTTGCGAAACTCAAGTTCAACCCCTTCAAGATCCGCTTCTTCCGCGTTGTACCAGGTGTAAATCTCGTTTTCAGCTTCGATCCGACCCAGCTCAATGGGCTCATCAAACTCTTTCATGAAGACACCAACGGAAACACTGTCTGCTTCACCAAAATACCACTCCCAACGCAGATCGTAATTGTTCAACTGCGCAGGCTCGAGGAACACGTTACCGCGATACAGTTGTCCATCTTCAGGATTGCGGAAGGTTGAACCGGTAATTTCCAGCAGACTGGGGCGATTGACAGTCTCAGAATAGGCAAGCCGCAGCTGCATATCGTTGACAAACTCAAACGTGACCGACCCCGACGGGAGAGTATCATCATAATCGTTCGAGACCTGATTCAACGTACCGGGCAGTGTGTTGCCGCCAGATGCATCGGCTTCAAGCGTTGTGTCTTCCTTGCGCACGCCCGCTTGAAGGCGAATTCGATCCGTTACCTGAGCGTCAAATGCGAGGTAATAACCGGTCGTTTCTTCACTGGATTCAGCAAACGGGAAAATGCCGCTCGAATCAGCAGCTCGACCGGAAAAATCATCGACGTCGAGATAGCCTGAGCCCCAGTTATCCAAACCGAACAGCTGGTTAGGTGTCTGCAGACGAACAAAATCAGGTGCAGTATTGGTCAGATCGAAACGAAACAGTCGATCCTCGGAGATGCGTGATCTTTCATAATCTGAGTAACCGGTTCTGACAACAAAATCCACATTACCGAAAAGAAAGGGTAATTCCAGATCAAAGCCATACTCCTCAATGTCATCTTTCAGCTTCTGATACTGACGCTCTGGCGCGATAAAGATGTTTTTGGCATCCAGCTGGGTAAATGAATCGGATACATTCTGCAGACCGTTTTCTTCGAAGTAGGTATAGCTGCGCGTATCCGGCGATTCACGCAACCCGGAGCCATCTACATACCGCCAGTTCAACAAAGCGCCATTAACCGCTTCGCCGATGTTGAAATAGTGCTCGCCTTTTATAGAGGTGGAACGAATTTCATTTTCGGTCCATTGCAGAAGAATATTCTCTACGGGCGTAAAGGAGAATCCGAACTCACTCGAAACACCACGCTCTTGCTGAACCTCATCATCAGTCTGACGCAACAGTACGTGTGTGACACTAATGGCATTGTCATTGTTAAGCTCGAAACCGACATTCAGAAAGCCACTCATCGTGACTGTTTGCCGAGTGGTTTCCCGCTCGTAATCGAGTAATTGATTTACCGCAGCGCCGGTAAAGTTATAGCGGGCAAATTCAACATCCGTTTGCCGATACTGATTGTCGTATTTGCCTGCGGCTAACAAACCAATCGACATGCCATTGGCCAGATCGTATCGATAACCCATTTCTGCATCGCCTGAAAAATCGGGCTTGATTTCAAATTCTCGAATATCCCAGTTATTGAAAAAGCTGGCCCCAAGAGCACGATCTTCCGGAAAACCGATGTCTTCAAAATTGTCGCTCGACAACAAGGCTATGTTTTCCGGTATGTGACGGGTGCCATCATCCATACCCCAGTTGTCGCTTGACCCACCCGAGTATTTCAAGCCGTCGCCGCCTGTGGTTTCAGAATTCCCACCGATAGAGAACGACAAATCGAGAAAGTTTTCTTCCGGCGTTGTGCGAGTGCGAATATCTACAACACCGCCGCTGAAGTCGCCCGGGTATTGAGCTGAATAGGTTTTTTGTACTAACAGATTTCGCACAATACTTTTCGGGACGATGTCCAAAGGCACCGTCTTCTGAAACGGAACCGGCGACGAAATGCGTGAGCCATCTAACAGCGTAGATGAGTATCGTTCACCGAGACCCCGCACATAAACATACTTGCCACCAACCAGCGACAGACCCGTAACTCTGCTCAGAGCCTCACCAACGCTGTTGTCTGCCAGCAAGCCAAGTGCTTCCTCATCCAGTACATTGGATATCTCAGAAGTTGTACGCTTTTCATCCGGGATGAATTTACCCAGCACAATCACTTCTTCCATGACCCCAGGTGGCGCAATACCTATGGATTCTTCCGCAGCTGCGGAGTTAGCCAACGCAATTACACCTGCAGTGGCCCAAAACATTTTTCGAATCATTTCTTCACCTAATATTTGGTGTTAGAAGCAGCAAAGCGCCAGGTGGGATTTAACCACCTGGCGCCTCGAACTGCTCGGGCCTAGTTACCGCTCAATGCTGGCACACCTACGGTCCAACCTTGACCCCACTCACTGATGTCTGAACCGACTATGCTGTCACCTGCTGGATCCAGACCTGCCGGCAGGGTCACAGGGGTTGGCGCGGTGCCGTCCTGAGTGACATTGGCTGAACCATCCAGGAATGCCTGAACGCTGGCATCACCACCATCAACAATTGTGGGACAGCCAAGACTAACCCCGTTCAAAGTGATGCGAGACCCCAGATAGTTCAGGGATGTGCCTGACACTTCGAAGCAGCGGTCGCTACCAGTGACTTGCGAGTTATAAAGCTGCAACCCCGTGCCCAGGCGCAATCGAATTGCTCGCTGTGTGTCATCACCGATGATTGTCATGTTTGCGATAGTTGGCTCGGAGATGGGTGTCGCCAATTCATCATCTTCGCGGTTGTCCGCTTCAATGCTGTTGTCACCGCCCGCGGTCTGCTCAATGTGCAGATACTGCAGAGAGCCTACCCAACCATCGGTCCAATCCAGACTGTCATCCGCGTTACCAATCAATACCACATGTGAGGCATTGACCGTACCGCCGAAGAATTCGATGCCATCATCCAGGTTGTTGAACACCTGAATGTAATCCACTTCGGTGCCGGAGCCTACGCCCTGGAATGCAATACCGTTCAACTGGTTCTGTGGATCTACGTTTGAACCCGCAAACTTCACGACCACATAGTTGAGCACACCGCTGTTATCTAACGGATCATCGCCACCGAAGGTACCGGAATTGGCTTCACCTTCCTTCGTACATCCTGCGGTGCCGCCATCGATTCCAGCTGGGCAATCGTTTATAGGCGCATTACCGTTGATCACAAGACCGCCCCACAAACCCTGAGTTGTAGTTGGGTTCGCAATGTTACCAAGGATGTCATCAGCTGCTGTAAACGTGACAGGCGCATTCTGTGTACCCCGAGCCAGAATCTGAGAACCGCGAGAAATCACCAGGAAGTCTACCGGATCATCACCGACAATCTCTGTACCCGACTGGATATCTAAGATTGCAGAATCCGTATTGTCTCCACCAATGGTCACCGCACCGTCTAGAACGTAGATGTTGTTACGCGGTAATACAAGGTCTGTGGTATAGGTGCCAGCCAGGCTACACGTTGTTGTGGTGCCATCAATGGCCGCGATTTCAGTGGTGCCCACGGGACAACCAAACACACCGCTTGCATCCGGCATGCCGAAAGCCCAGCCGGTGGTCCAGTCTTCGTCAACGTTCTCGATGGCGCCAACAAATGTGGTGTTATCGAAGAAGTCATCCGCTGACAGATCCACTGCACTGACCAGGGTCCCATCGGTGCTGACGTTTTCGCTGGCGTCGATTTCGGCCTGTACGGCCGCATCTAATGGATCAACACAGTCAAGGCTGACACCCCCTAACTGGATGCCCGTACCTAACAGCGCCAGGGACTCAGCACTTTCAACCACAAAGCAGAGATCATTACCCTGCACGGTGCTGTTGTAGAGCTCCAGACCGGAACCTGCACGTATGCGAACGGCTCGAGACGCGGCGATACCATTGATCGACATATTTGCAATTTTTGGCAGCGAGACAGGTGTTACGCCTGGGTCATCGGAACGGTTATCCGCCTCGATACCACTGTCACCGGCATCGGTCTGGTTGATGATCAGGTATTGAATTTTACCTACCCAGCCATCGGTCCAATCAAGTGAGTCGTCCGCGTTGCCCGTCAAAATTACGTGACGCGCGCTCACCGTGCCGCCGAAAAACTCAATGCCATCATCCAGATTGTTATGCACCTGTACAAAATCGACTTCGGTTGCGCTGCCCACACCCTGGAAAGCAATACCGTTCAGCTGATTCTGCGGGTCAACGTTAGACCCTGCGTATTTAACAACCACATAGTTCAGACGACCGCTGTCATCATCAGCAACATCGCCGCCAAACAGTCCGGAGTTGGCTTCGCCTTCTTTTGTACAAGCAGCGCTGCCGCCGTCGATGCCAGCGGGACATTCATTGATCGGCGCGTTACCGTTGATCACCACCCCGCCCCAAAGGCCTCTATCCGTCGCAAGCACGGTGCCTTCGACGTCAGACTGACTGGTGAAGGTAACTGGCGCAGTACGCGTACCGTTTGCAAGAATGCGGGAACCCCGTGAAATGACCAGGAAGTCCACATCGGTGCCGCCAAAGATGGTAGTACCAGCCTGGATGCTGAGGTCAGCCGAGTCGACATTGTCGCCGCCAATGGTGACCTTGCCCACCAGCTCATAGAGGTTGTTTGAGGTCAACAACAAACTGCTGGTTATGTCGCCGCTCAGCTGGCAGATACGCTGGCCATCAATGGTGCGAGACGATGTCGTGGTGCCGTCAGGACAACCAAAGTCAGGCTGAGTGGTTTGACTGACCGAACCTTCCAAAGTCCAACCATCCGCCCAGTTCTCAGACCCGAAAGCGCCCAGATAATCTGTGTTTTCGAAGAAAGTGTCCGCGATGTTGATGGGATCAACCTGCTCACCTGTCTGCGACACGTTGGTGGCGCTGCTCAAGTAAGCGGCAACCGCACCATCCGTATCTCCATCGTGCGTTTGCGCACACGCGAAACTGACACCACCAATTGTGATTGCCGGGTCACTTGCTGCGCCCAGGAAATCACGCGAGGTACCGTCAACACGGATACAGCGTTCAGAGCCGTCAACAAAGCTGTTATACAAGGTCACCGCCGTACCCGCGCGGAAGCGCAGAGCACGCTCGTCAGATTTTCCGATGACCGTCATGTTTGCGATGGTCGGACTCGAACGTGGCAGCGCGTCTTCTTCATCACTGCGGTTATCTGCTTCGATGGCGTTATCTCCACCATCGGTCTGTTCGATATACAGGTACTGAAGATTACCCACCCAACCGTCTGTCCAATCCAGGCTGTCGTCGTCGTTGCCCGTCAGGACAATATATTTGGCGTTTACCGTACCACCGAAAAACTCAATGCCGTCGTCCAGGTTGTTATGCACCTGAACGTATTCAACAACCGTGGCGTCACCAACGGCCTGAAAGGCAATGCCGTTCAGCTGATTCTGAGGATCAACGTTCGAACCTGCATAACGCACGCTGACGTAACGCAGAATACCCGAATTGTCATTGGGATCATCACCGCCGAAGAGACCGGAGTTGGCTTCACCTTCCTTGGTACAACCTGCCGTGCCGCCGGTTTCACCAGCGGGACAGTCATTAATGGGCGCAAAACCGTTGATCACCACGCCACCCCAAAGGCCGCGGTCTGAGGTTTCAACGTTACCGGTGACCTCTTCGAGGGCGGTAAAGATAATCGGCTGATCCGAAGTACCATCAGCAACGATCTGACAGCCTTGGCTGATCACCAGAAAGTCCGTGGCACTGGCGCCAACAACAATGGCGCCGGGCTCGAGATTGAATGCGCAAGCTGCACCGGTACTTGGCGCCGTAACTCGCAAAGCGCCGCCAGAGATCTGATAAATGGCGTCGTTACCCAGTATCAGCCCTGTAGGATCCAAGGCACCACCTGTTAACGCGGTCACGTCGATGGTAAAGATCGGTAGATTGTTAAAAGATGTTGAAGCGGTTGTGCCACTGTCGGTGATCACCGAATTCAGCGCTGCAGGAATGGTACTGGGATTGGTTTGACCACCGCCACCGGTGCCACCCCCATCACCACCACCCCCATCATCACCACCACCGCAATCGTCACATTCCACTGGCACTTCCACCACAACGGATCCGGGTGAAGCGTTATCGGAACCGCCTCCACACGCCACCAGAACCAGAGATCCTAAAACAAGGAACACTGCCTGACGCAGTGTCCGAACCAAACTATTGGATATCATGAACTCCCCCAGAGAGTTTTATGTCGTTGCACCTGATTCGCCGAGGTTAGCCCCAACGTCCAGCTGGCAAGATAGTTCCGCTTTATGACCCAGACATTTCGTTTTCATTACAAATTTATGACACGCAAAGGGAAGGTTTACAGACACTAAGACGTCATGAAACTGTCAAGAGATAGGGTTAGCGTGACAGCACGATGGGGAGGAAGTCATCGCATATAAGTCATGGGTTATCGTAAGCTTTTAAAGGGATATTTGGCGCATGTAAACGACACCATCGGGAGTGATCTGGTGGAGTTAGCTGCGCAAAAAAATGCCTTCAAACCCAGAGACCTGGGAGAGCTTCGGAGTGTAGCCGCGGAGCTCAAACGTGAAGCCTGCGAAGCGCTGGAGCGCGACCGGCCTATCGAAATTAAGGCCGCATCAGCCAACACGCGAAATAGTTCTGGTGAAACCCCACCGCACCACAATTAGCTTGTTTTCAACTAGTAGCCGTGGTTCCGTAGGGCTGAAATTTAACCGCGGAACCACGCATGAAATTACGCCAGGTAGCCATTGCGGCTGAAACGCTCAATCCAACACGCACACAGCTGTTCAGCATGCTTGGCATTACAGCTGACTATGCCGACCCGGGGGTTGCGGAGTTCGGTCTGGAAAACTCTGTCATGTCCATTGGCAACAGCTTCTTAGAGATTGTTGCCCCCACTCAGGACAACACCTCCGCCGGTCGTCTGCTTGGTAAACGTCAGGACACCTGTGGCTATATGGTCCTGATGCAGATCGAAGACTTTGCCAAAACCGCACAACATCTAACCCAACAGAACGTGCGCTCGATCTGGCAGGTTGAACGTCCAGAGGTATCTGCCTGTCATGTCCATCCAAAAGATATCGGTGGCGCCATCGTCTCCTTTGACGAAATGCGCCCAGCAGCAGATTGGCTGTGGGCGGGTCCAGACTGGCGCGCACAACGCGCCACAGACGTTACCCGTTTACTGGGCTGCGAGCTGCAACATCCTGAGCCTGAAAACCTTGCGAATCGATGGGGAGAAGTCATGTCTACCCCTGTGGTTACTCAGCCAGATGGCCGCTATGCATTGGTTTTCTCTGACCAGACCTTTATCCGCTTCTCACCAGCCGCTGCAGACCTGGGTATTACCGGCATCACTTTTTCCTGCCCGGAGCCCCAGCTGATGACAATCCGGGCACAGGAGTTAGGACTGTGGAGCAACAAACGCGACGGCATTTTTATCGGCGATGTCGCATTCAACTTTGTGTAACATAACACGCTGAAATTCCCCGGAGACTTAGACATGGCCGAACAGGCAATCAACACCGAATCCAGCGCTGCAGAAGAGATCGCCGCTCTCGTTGCTCGCTCGCACGCCGCGCAAGAGCAGATTGAACATTATACCCAGGAGCAGGTAGACAACCTGATCCGCGCCATGGTCTGGGCCGTGGCCCGCCCGGGTGTTGCGGAAGAAATTGCTCAGTTCACCGTTGATGAAACCCAGTTAGGCAATTACGCCGGTAAGTTCCTGAAAATACAGCGTAAAACCCGAGCCACCCTGATGGACATCATCGATGACAAATCTGTCGGCATTCTGGAAGAAGACCCCGAGCGGGCCATTGTGAAAATTGCCAAACCCATGGGGGTTATCGGAGCACTGTCACCGTCAACCAATCCTGAAGCCACACCGGTCATCAAAGCGATTCACGCGGTCAAAGGTCGCAACGCTATTATTGTGGCGCCACACCCGCGGGCGAAACTGACCAACAAGAAGATCTGTGACCTGATGCGCGAGGCGCTGGTAAAAATGGGCGCACCGGCGGATCTGGTGATCGCCATCGAAACCCCCAGCCTCGAGCTGACCAACGAACTGATGCGACAGTGTGATCGCGTGCTGGCCACCGGTGGCGGCGCCATGGTAACGGCTGCGTATTCAAGCGGAACACCCGCGTTAGGTGTTGGCGTAGGTAACGCCGTGATTACTGTTGACGATACTGCGGACCTGGATGACGCTGCAGAAAAAATTCACATGTCTAAAACCCTCGACCTGGCAGCTTCCTGTTCGTCCGATAATTCCGTCATTCTGCACAATGACATCTATGACGCCATGCTTGAAAAACTTCAGGCCAAAGGCGGCTATGTTGTGAACGATGCAGAAAAAGCGCTGTTGCAACAGACGCTCTGGGATAATGAAGGACATCTGAATACCGATATTGTTGCCCAACCTGCAGAAGTTATTGCAGCCAAAGCCGGCATCACTATCCCCGAAAATACAGAATTTTTTATTGTGCCGGAAACCGGCTGGGGCCCCGACTATCCCTTTTCAGGAGAGAAACTGTCAGTTGTGATGGCTTTGTACCATGCGCGGGACATTGATCATGCTATTGAGCTGACCAACCACATTCAGGGTTATCAGGGACAGGGACATTCGTGTGGCATCTACTCCACCAGCGACGCCAATATCATGAAACTGGCGGAAGCGACCAAAACCTCACGGGTGATGGTCAACCAGCCCCAGGCCGCCTCCAACAGTGGCAACCTGTGGAATGGCATGCGCCAGACCTTTTCCCTGGGTTGTGGCTCCTGGGGTGGCAATGGCACCAATCACAATATTTCCTGGCGCGACCTGATCAACGAAACCTGGGTATCCAGACCGCTGCCACAAAACAAAGAGCTGACCTCTGACGAACAGCTCTTTGGCGACGTTATCGAAAAACTAGGTTAGCCTTCCAGCACCGTGCGCGCGCCATCAATGGCGCGCGTATAAATACCAGTGGCGAATTTAACCGCCGTTTCCTCATCCACTCCACGCGGTTCAAAAGTACCCGTCCATTCAACGGTTGTTGTGCCGTCGTCATTATCGTTCACCGCCACCACAGCACTATAGTCGGCAAAAGGCAGCGGACCACCACCGTTAGTTATCGCATACGCAAACTGCCGGGCTGAAGGCTCATAGACATCCAGTCGCTCCACAACATCACCGTTCGGCGTGGAAATAGTGCGCGTCATGCCTACACCCTCACCTTCGTAAACCACTGAATCAATGCCTGGTCCGGGCTGAATGCTTTTGAAGTTTCCAAGAATTTGCCAGACATCGTCGGCATTGGCTTTTATTGATTGAACCACTTTGGCTTGGGCCATGTTTTTCTCCTGATGAAGTATTTGTGCAAAGTTTTGTGTTGGCCTAGAGCGCCGCGATGGCGGCACTCATGGTCTGCTCGGTGACCTGCCAGCGGTCATCTGCCCAGGGCATCGGCATCAGTACCGGGTGCTCAACGCCGGCATCTATATAACTTCGGGTAAAGGCGGTCACTTCGGTCTTATCGCCGATAAAGTTGATGGCTTGAATCATCTGTTCCGATATCGCTGCTAATGCACCGTCCCTGTCCTTTTGCGCGTGACAGGCACGCAGCTGATCCACCTCGTCAGAAAATCCTGCAGCACGAAACATGTTTGCGTATCCATCTGCCATGGCATAGTTGAACAGGTCCTTGCGTGCTGACCTGGCACCACGCTCAAATTCTGTGACCGACGCATGTACATAGGCAAATATTTTAGCGTTACCCCCGGCACGCACCTGGGCAATAGAGGGCCCCACATGACTGACGGGAATGTAGTTCAGCAAAACGCCGTCAGCAATTTCCCCGGCCAGCTTCAACATCTGCGGCCCTAATGCGGCCAGCACAATTTTTGGCTTTCGCTCACCCAGTCGCATGCCTAACCTGAACCGTTTCACCGACCAGAAATCGCCTTCAAAAGTCACCGCTTCGCCAGACAGGCATTCACGCAGCAAAGCAACATACTCTCGCATTCTCGCAATGGGTCGATCAGGCGGAGACGCGCCGTGTTGAGCCAGAATGCCCGGTGCTGACACACCCAGGCCTAACCACACATCTGCATCCGGGCTTAATGCCTGCAGGGTAGCTGCAGACATGGCTGCGAGCGGTGGCGTGCGCACAGCAATCGGGATAATGCCAGTTGCCAGGTCAAGTGTGGGCGCAACCGCTGAGACAGCACCCAGCAACGAAATAGCATCGGTACCGGTCGCCTCTACAGTCCACAGTGAACGGTAGCCCATTTGCTGAGCCATCTGCGCCACATCTATAACTGCGCGTGGGCCAAGGACACCAAGACTGCCAAAGGTGACACCCATTTCGTTACTCATAACTCCTGCCCTTAAATTTTTCTGTATTCAGATAAGAAGCCAAGACTGTACGCAAGCCTGCCGCAGGCAACAACAGCTTTGCAAAAAACACGCATAACGACAAAAGGCGTTATAGTAGGGACTGGCACCATTCATAAAGGGGAGAAACATGAACACGGCCAGCACCACCCGGATTGCATTCGCGGCAGCATTACTCACGGCGTCGGTGACGCTACTGACCAGTACTGTGGCCACAGCCGATGGCATCAAACGCACTGCCAGCGGTAAACCTGATCTTTCGGGCACCTACGACGTGTCCACCCTTACGCCTTTTCAACGGCCAGAAGAATTCGGCGACAACCGCTATCTGACGCCCGACGCGGCCGCCGCTATTGTCGAGGAAAATCGGCAACGCGTCATTGACCGTGACCGCAACCGCGGTCCAATTACCGAAGCCCCACCTGAAGGTGGCGCCCCACCAGTGGGTGTCGGTGAAGAATTCAGCGAAGCCAGCGGCGCTGGCAACGTTGGTGGTTACAATAACTTCTGGGTGGATCCCGGTGATGACGTATTCACCGTCGACGGTAAATTCCGCACATCGATTATCATCGATCCGCCAAACGGCAGAATGCCGCCGATGACCGAAGAAGCGCTTTTTGCAGCCCGCGAACGGGGTAAACTGCGGCGCCCGAACGATGGCACTGCCTGGTGGCTCGATGTTGATCATCGAGGCCCCTACGATGGACCCGAGTCGTTGGGCATTTCAGAACGCTGTATTGTTGGATTCACCGGTGCAACCCCAACTTTCCCGAGCCTTTACAATAACTTCAAACGCATCGTGCAGACCGACGAGCATGTCATGATCATGATTGAAATGGTCCATGATGCGCGCGTTGTGCGTATGAACGGCGAACACAACCCGGCCAGCATGAAATCCTGGCTTGGAGACTCTATAGGCCGCTGGGACGGAGACACCCTGGTGGTGGAGTCGCGTAATTTCATCGCCGCAAGCCGACAGGGGCGTGGCGGTAGTGAAAACATGCAGGTCACCGAGCGATTCACACCGCAGGAAAACGGCAATCTCCTCTACAGTTTCACGGTCAGAGACCCGTCCGTGTGGACAGCACCCTGGTCCGGTGAGTACATCTGGCGAAGTAGTGACGACAAAGTATTTGAATACGCCTGCCACGAAGGCAACTATTCCATGGGTGGCATACTGCGCGGTGCGCGGCTGTTAGAAGCTGAACGCCAGGCAGCGGCCAGCGCGGGCGGTAACTAAGGAGCTAGGTTTTAACCTCTTCCGCGGGTTTTGTTTCGATTGGGGCGTGCCTCTTTCTCAATAAACTCGATAATGAGGTTGGCGACATTTTTGTTTGTCGCCTCCTCAATACCTTTAAGACCCGGCGAAGAGTTCACTTCCATAATCAGTGGGCCCCGGTCTGAGCGCAACAGATCCACACCACAAACGTTCAGGCCCATAATCTTAGCGGCATTAACTGCGGTACGACGCTCCTGTGGGCTGAGACGCACCACCTTAGCGCTGCCGCCTCTGTGCAGATTGGAACGGAACTCCCCTTCCGGTGCAGTTCGCTGCATGGCGGCAATCACTTTTCCACCCACTACAAAACAACGGATATCACTTCCACCGGCTTCTTTAATGAATTCCTGCACCAGGATGTTGGCAGACAAGCCCATGAAACCTTGAATCACGCTCTGGGCTGCATTGCGCGTTTCTGCAAGCACAACACCGATACCCTGGGTGCCTTCCAGCAGTTTAATCACCAGAGGCGGACCGCCTACTTCGCGGATTAAACCTTTGATGTCGTCGGGTGAGTTGGCGAACGCTGTGACCGGAATGCCCACACCACGACGTGACAACAACTGCAACGAACGCAACTTGTCTCTCGAGCGCGTGATTGCAACAGATTCATTGACACAGTACACACCCATCATTTCAAACTGCCGTACCACAGAACAGCCATAGAAGGTGACCGAAGAACCGATACGAGGAATAATCGCGTCAAAATGATCTGCATCAAATTCTTCGTCACGATAATGCAAAGTAGGCTTTTCTGAGGTGATGTCCATGAAGCAGCGCAGGTGATCTAAAACACGCACTTCGTGACCGCGGGCTTTTGCCGCCTCCACCAGACGTGCGGTTGAATAAATACGGGAGTTTCGCGACAGAATGGCGATTTTCATGAACTTTTCCGTTTTTTATGACGACTTTGCAGGAACGAACGTCCCGGGTTAACAAGGTAATGGTTACGAATAGCCGTGCGGCCAAGCAACATTCGATAACCCATGGTTTCGCGATCAGCCAGGGATATTTCGGTTTTCCAGACACGCTCGCCTAACTGCAGCTGGGTTTCAATGAAATAGCGATGAGACTCAATCCCACCGGAGTTTTTCACCAGACGTTTGTCGATGACTTTAGCCTCACACCATACCTCATCGAAGGTACTTCGCCGCGACGGGTGCACGCCAAAACGAACCCACGGGGCGCCGTCTTTTTCGAATTCCTCAACACTGAAGGCATGCAGACAGGATGACCGCGCACCCGTGTCAGTCTTGGCGGTGATACCAAAAATGCCCAGTTGCGGTAGCGATACACGCTCGCGCCAGCCGATCGAGGGGTGATGTTTCTTGCGATCATTCACTGCAATATTCCTAAAAAATTCTATTAACCAAGCTCAGAAGAATTTGCCACCCGTGGGTCCATATCTACCGCGCCCATCGTGGTCTTCGGTACCATCTGGTAAGGCTCATAGTGATCGCGAGACACGTCATGAAAGACCAGGCGTGCCGCTGTCCAGGCTGCTGCCAGGGCAAAAGCAATGCCGATCATCACAAAAAACAGGTTATCCAGCTGCAACCAGACGAGCCCTGCGTAGAGCAATGGCCCAGCAATAGAACCGAGACCGTTGGCCAGCAACAAAGCCCCTGCAATCACCAGAAAAGCTCCCCGCGCGTTGTCATTTGCATGTGCTACGCCGAGGGAATAGAGCGGCATCGCAGCGCCACCCACAATGAAACCTAACACATAGAGCTGTAATGGTGTTGTCGAGCCGAATAATGCCCAGCTGGTTGAGCAGACAAACGCCAACACGCTGGTCCCCAGAATGACCCAACGCCGATCCACATGATCCGACAGACGGCCCAGGGGCAGCTGACAGAACAGTCCACCCAGCAGCACCCACATGATAAAAGTAACCCCAACCTGGTCATCCAGCACAACCCGGCTGACAAAAACCGCACCATTACTCCAGATCAGCCCCATTACAAAGCCCGACATGGCCGCTGCGATCAATCCAACCTGAGAGGCCTGGTAGGCTACCCGGAAGCTGAGCACAACCTGTGTTGGTGTTGCCGGCTGCGGGCTGGTGGTTAAGCCAACGGGAACAATGGCCAGCGCAAAAATGATGGCTGCCAACGCTGCGCCCTGCAGAACATCCCCGCCGGTGAGCAACAACTGCCCCAAGGCCATGGCGCCTATACAGACAAATCCGTACAAAGATAACAGGCTGCCGCGCGCGCGTTCCGTCGCATTTTCATTGAGCCAGCTTTCTATAATCATGTAGAAACCTGCCAAACTGGCCCCGGTGACCATCCGCATACCAATCCAGACTGGCAGGTATTGCCATTTTGCAAGGGTCAGAATGGCTGCAATCGCCAGCGCGGTGCAGACTGTGAAAACTCGAATATGCCCTACATTGGCAATCAATCGCGGCATACAGAGACAACCCAGAATGAAGCCGCCAAAATACGCGGCGCCAGTCAGGCCGATCGCAGCAGGACTCCAGCCAATATTCTGCGCGTGCAGGGGCAGCAGTGTCTGTTGCAGACCGTGACCTAGCAGTAGGATAGCCAGCGACAGAAATACGCTGAATAAAGATTTGAGGGTGGTTTTCATGGCGGCGCGATTCTCGTCATTTCCGCTCGCCCTGCAAGCTTTTTTTTACCAACGGAAACACTATGAGCAAAGTAAAGACTGAACCCTTTAAAATGGCAGGCCGGGAAATTGCCCCAGGAGAGCGACTACAGTTCGATATTCCCGCGGCAGCCCTGTATACCCACACCCCACTGGACCTTACCGTGGAGGTCATTCACGGCTCGCGACCAGGACCGGCTTTGTTGGTTTGCGCCGGAATCCACGGCGATGAACTCAACGGCATCGAGATCATTCGCAGACTGCGCACGCTAAAGACGCTGAAGTCATTAAAAGGCACCCTGGTACTGGTACCGGTCGTTAACCTGCATGGCTTTATTCATCAGTCGCGCTATCTGCCCGATCGACGGGATTTAAACCGCTGTTTCCCCGGCAGCGAAAGTGGTTCGTTAGGGTCGAGGGTTGCGCATCTGTTCTTCACCGACGTCGTCGCACGCTGCACCCATATTATTGATCTGCATACAGCCGCCATTCACCGTGACAATCTGCCGCAGATCCGCGCAGCCCTGGATAACCCGGAAGTTAAAAAGATGGCAATGGACTTTTCGATTCCGGTCATCATCAATGCCGGTCTTATAGAAGGCACGCTGCGTGCGGAAGCCGGCGAGCGCGGCATCCCGGTATTGACCTACGAGGCAGGAGAAGCCCTGCGTTTATCAGAAACCTCTATCGTCACGGGTATCCGCGGCATTACCAACGCGATGCGCGGACTGGGTATGTTACCTGCCCGCCGCAACCGGGCGGCAGCTACCGAACCCAATATTGCGCGTTCCAGTAAATGGTTCCGCGCCAACAGCGACGGCATGTTCCGACCTCTGGTTAAGTTAGGCACAAGGGTGAAAACTGGCGATCTGCTGGGCATTATCTCCTCGCCTTTTTCCTCCGCCGAAGTAGGTGTTTCATCTACCATCGACGGGATAGTCATTGGCATGAATAATTTACCGCTGGTATACGAAGGCGAGGCTCTGTTTCATATCGCGCTATTTGGCGAGGCGGGTGTTGTACAGGATGACATCACCGCCCATGCAAGTGTCATCGCAACAGACCCCCTGTTCGAGATAGAGCAGGTTACCCTGGGTCAGATTGAGGACATCGACCTTAAATAGGGATAAAGGTAATAGTTATTGTGGTCTGCTGAGCAGAGTTGCTAAACTACGCGCCGCCCAGGCAGCCATCAAGCTGAATGCGGCACCCTTTTTCTTTAGGTTTTAGGCGCGTAGCTCAGTTGGTTAGAGCACTTGGTCGACATCCAAGGGGTCGTCAGTTCGAATCTGACCGTGCCTACCATCTTTTGTGTACCCTTTGTACTCATTAGTAACTGCCTTTCCACATCGAAAAGCCCCTTTTCTTCGAACATTTTTCGTATATACGAGCAGTTGCATCTGTCGGACAAATGGTCAATCCTTAGGTGGTCGATGCGTATGGGGATACGTAACGACTCCATTAAACTGGATTCGACGGCAGCACATGTTCTAGAAGATCGCTGTACGTACGAACACTCGGAGGGGTAAATACATGTCTTATTTCCGCACTGGCGGGGCTGCACTTGTGTGTATGCTGCTTGCCAATCAAGCCCTAGCTGAAGAACAACGTCGTGTCATTGAAGAAATGGTGGTCACCGCTGAGAAGCGTGAGTCTACTGTTTCAGACACGTCAATCTCGATCACCGCCTTTGGCGAAGATATGATCTCAGACTTCGGCATTCAGGGCGCCGACGAACTTGTCAATTTCATTCCAGCGACCACGCGCGATGCCTACGATATTCGTATTCGTGGTGTGGGACGCAACTTCCGTGCAGTCGGCGGTGACCCGGGGGTTGCTACTTACTACAACGGCGTTTATTCCGAAGATTTCGGCATTGCCGCGTCGGAGAACGGTCTTTACGACATCGCTCGGATCGAAGCACTACGCGGCCCCCAGGGCACACTGTATGGACGCAACTCGATTGGCGGCGCGTTGAACTACATCACCAACAAACCCACCTACGAGTTTGAAGGTGAGTTGAAGGTACTCGGCGGCAGTCTTGGCGCGCAGGAATACTACGGCGTTCTGTCAGGTCCCATCATCGATGACAAACTGGCTTACCGAATTGTCGGCGTGAATCGCGACCGCGATGGTTCCCAAGGCGGCTTGGCCGGCAGTGAAGACATCAACAGCATTCACGACTCTAACTATTCAATTGCGTTGCAATGGAATATCGCAGATAACTGGGAAGCCAATGTGCGCTGGAATGATCGATCTTCAGATCGCATTATTGGCATGTCTTCGGTCGTGGCAGAAGGCGTCGCTGGCGATCGCTCCGCACGCAACACAGAAAACTACGCTCGTGGCATCCGCCCGGTTGACGCAACAACCCCTGGCGCAATCCCATTCACACACCCTGTTACCGGCGAAACCCTTTATGGGGGCTATCATCGCCCTGGCGTAGATATTGCTGACTCGTTTGTGCCTAACCCTGGATTCGGACGCGGTGGTCTCGGCCTAGCGTTAGATCCGGATATTGAAGATCTCAATGCAAAGGTTGCCAACAATGGCGACAACTTCGAAACCTTCGATCAGAACGGCATCCAGTTTGATCTCACCTGGGATCTGAGCGAAACCACAGCCCTCAAGTACCTCGGTGGCTGGTCTGATTTCGACTATTTGTTTGATATCGACCTGGACTACACCAACGGCACTTTTGCGCAACCGCGACAAACCGTTACAGAATCCGTAGAAACCTACTCTCACGAGTTACAGTTACTCTGGCAGATCGGTGAAAACCTTCAGTTAACGAGCGGCCTGTACTACTTCCACGCCAATCGCGTGCAAAACTATGCGTTCCGCGATGTGGAAAGCCAGGGCCGTTTCCTGAACCCTGCCAACTATGGCGCTTTTGATCCCTTCCTGCCGGCCACACATACGCGACGCGGCGCTGCAGCTGTCGGCACCCAGGTTATTGGTCGCTGGGAAGGTGATCCTACCGGCGCCTGGTACGAATACTGGAACGAAATCGACACGGATGCTTACGCGGTTTACACCCAGGGCACATACACTTTTAACGAAGAATTTGCCCTGACCGTGGGTGTTCGTTGGGCATTAGACGAAAAAGCAGCGTTCGAAGATCGAACCGGCTACTTTGAATTAAACCCAGCCGCATTCGGGACCACTCTCACGGGCGCCAACATTGCAATGGGTAACGGCACCTTCTCAGGCGATCTGGCCAATCCACTCACACCTGTGTGTGATCTGACAGACACAACCTGTACTACACCTGTGCGACTGCAGGGTATTCCATACTCATTTGCCGATGCTGCAAAAGGTGATGACGACTGGGGTGATGTCTCTTTCCGTGTGAACCTTGATTGGACGCCAAATGAAAACACACTGGTTTACGTCTCGGCGACCACCGGTTACCGGGCAGGTGGATACTCTTTGGGCATAGGTGACTCGCGTGCGCCTTCCGCATCAGGTTTCGGCGGCATTGTGCCCTCGACTTATGACCAGGAAGAAGTGTTTGCAACAGAAATAGGCTACAAGGCCACATTGCTCGAAGGCCAGTTGCAGATCAATTCATCTGTCTACATGTACCAATATGATGACTACCAGGATCGCATCGAGATTTTCAATGCGTCATCCGGCTTGGCTCAAGACCAGGTGCTGAACAGCGATGACGTTGAGAACATGGGTGTAGAGGTAGAATTCACCTGGTTGCCAACAGATGCGCTGACCCTGGGTGGCAACGTGAGTTACACCAAGACCGAATACAAGTCTGACCTGTTCGTTCTGGAAGACGACAATCCAGCTTTCCCTGTGCAGATCTTCAATGACACAGCAGCGGGGGGACGTGATGAGTTCCTGGCGCAGAATCTGAAAGGCAATGACCTGAAGCGCATTCCAGAATGGAAGTACACTTTGTGGGCATCTTATCAATGGCTGTTCGAAGCGGGCTCTCTGACAGCAGGCGCCACGTACTCTTACACAGGCGAGTACGCCTCTGAGGGTATCATCCGCGACATTGATGAGAACCCAGCCAGGGACCGCCTCGACGTCTCTGTCACCTGGCGTGACAATAGAGACCAATGGGTAGTGCGCGGTTTCGTAGACAACGTGATGGACAAGGTCTACTCACGCGGAATTACGACACAAACGGCAAGCAACGACTACCGTCAGCTGGCTCAGCCTCTGTATCCACAGTTCTACGGTCTGGAAGTCACCTACCGATTTGGTAGTGATTTTTAGTCAAATAGCCTCTTCTAAGACCAACAAAGCCCCACCTCGTGTGGGGCTTTTTGTTTCTGCACTGAATTTTTTTCTGACGACTTGCAACTGCAAGCTTCAGTGCGTACAAATCTATGTAAGAGATTCGGGGATAAAAGGGGAAATACATGAATGCCATGACGCTGGAATGGGCCATCGAACACGGCATGCTGGTGGCTTTACACGCCGAGCAGCAGCCACAGAACCCGGCGGTGATCACGCAGTATGGTGAACGCTCATTTGCGGAGTTAAACGCTAACGCCAATCGGTTGGTGCGGTTGTTGGCGCAGCACGGCATTGGTCCCGGTGACTCTGTTGCCATTGTCACCAAGAACCGACCTGAATTTATCGAAACCCTGGTTGCGACAACCCGCAGCGGCATTCGCTTCACCCCGATCAACTTTCATTTAAAAGGCGAAGAGATTGGTTACATTGTGGACAACTGTGAAGCCAAAGCATTTGTTGCGGATGCCAGTTTAGGACAACCGGTTATCGAAGCACCCAGCCACGCCTCCGGCGCGCACCTGCTGCTCAGTGTTGGCGGCGAGATCGAAGGCTTCACCGATTTTTCTGCCGCAATTGCCAACCTAGATGGCGACAACATCGAGCAGCCCGAGCTTGGCTCACGCATGTTGTACACCTCAGGCACTACCGGCCGGCCGAAAGGCGTGTACCGCAAAGCAAAGCTGTTGGAAGTACCGCAGTGGGGTGACACTCCAGCAGCCTACACACCAGGACAGGACCGCGGCCTGGTTACCGGACCAGGCTATCACGCGGCACCTTTGCTCATCGACATCGTGCAACCGCTATGGTCTGGCGTAGGCATCGTTATGATGGACAAGTGGGATGCTGAAGAATGCCTGCGCTTGATCGAAGAACACAAGATCACCCATACACATATGGTTGCTACCATGTTTCACCGCATGTTAGGTCTGCCGGAAGACACCCGGACAAAATACGATCTTTCGTCACTCAAGTTTCTCATTCACGGCGCAGCACCCTGCCCTGTACATATCAAACACGCCATGATCGATTGGTTTGGACCGATCATCTGGGAGTACTATGCCGCGACAGAGGGTGGCGGCGGATTCCTGGTGGGATCTGAAGAGTGGTTGACTAAACCCGGCACAGTAGGTTGTCCTGGCCCTGAATTTGATAACAAAATACTCGACGATGACGGCAACCCCGTAGCCATCGGCGAAATCGGTACAATCTATATGCGCGCGCCGGAAGTGTCCCAGGGCCGCTTTGAGTATTACAAAGACAACAACAAAACCAGCAAGTCTTATCGGGGTGATTATTTCACGCTTGGTGATATGGGCTATTTTGACGAGGATGGCTACCTGTTTCTCACCGGCCGCAGCGCGGAACTGATTATTTCCGGGGGTGTGAATATCTACCCTCAGGAAGTAGACAGCGAGATTCACAAACACCCGGCCGTTGTTGATGTCTGTACCATCGGCGTACCCAATGACGAATGGGGCGAAGAAGTAAAATCTGTGGTGCAACTGCACGATGATGTTGAACCCAGCCAGGCTTTAACCGATGAATTAATCACCTGGGCTAGAGAGCGACTTGCTAACTTCAAGTGCCCGCGCAGCATTGATTACGTGAGCGAGTTACCTCGTTCTGCTGCAGGCAAAATCCAGCGCCGTGTTGTGCGCGAACCCTATTGGGAAAATAATTCGTAAATGAAAATTGACCTCTTGAGCCCAGCCAGTTTTGCCAACGGGCACCCTCTGGATCAATACCACTGGTTGCAGAACAACGCGCCCGTGTATTGGCACGAAGAACCCGACGGACCCGGCTTCTGGGCGCTCACCCGTTATGAAGACGTCGCTGACGTCGGTCGTCAGCCACTGCTGTATTCATCTGAACCAACCGTTATGTTGCCAGACCCGGACCCTGCCAATGGCGATCTGGGCGGCGGTGAGCATAAAATGATGCTGATGATGGACCCGCCCCAGCATACACAGTTTCGGCGCATCATCAGCAAGGAGTTCACCCGAGGCCCGGCTGCAGCCCTGCGTCCACGCATTGCCGAGCTCGCCGCGCAGATCATTGACCCAATCATTGAACGCGGCGAATGTGAATTTGTCAGCGAAGTGGCTGGCGAGCTGCCGTCATACGTCATTGCTGAGCTGACCGGCATTCCGCTGGTGGATGGACGCGAGCTGTATAAACTGACGGAGATCATACACACCGCACCGGAAGCATTGGCACCTGGGGAACAGTTAGACACTGTCACCAAAATGTTTGCCTATGCTCAGGATGTTTATCAGCGCAAGCTGGCTAAGCCGACCGACGACCTGGCGAGCCAGATTGTGCATGCAGAGGTAGATGGTCGCCGGTTGGATGCCATCGATTTCCAGCTGTTTTTCATGCTGCTGATTGATGCCGGTGGCGATACCACCAGAAACCTGGTTGCAGGCGGGCTGTATGAGCTGATCAGAAATCCCGCTGCACTGGCCGACTGGCAGGCACACCGAGGTGATGATCTCGACACCTCCGCGCGGGACGAGCTCCTGCGCTTAGTCAGCCCGGTGATTTACTTTCGTCGCACAGCAACACGAGATGTAGAACTGCACGGCCAACAGATAAAAGCTGGCGATAAAGTTGTACGCTACTTTGGTGCCGCCAACTACGACCCAGCCAAATTCGAACAACCCGACCAGCTGAATTTACACCGCTTCCCCAACGAGCAGATTGCGTTTGGCACGGGTACACATGTGTGCCTGGGCCAACATATTGCAAGAGTTGAAATTGACTGCATCTTTCACGAAATTCTGTCGCGCATGCATAACTTCCAGCTTGCGGAAACACCTGAGTGGCTCGCGTCCAATTTCATCTCCGGCATCAGACACATGCCGATAACCTTCGAAAAAGGTGCCGCGCTCTAACTCTATAAGCGGCAAAAGGGCTTGTCAGCGTCGATCTGAACACCAACAATGCCTGCTAAGAACAAAATGCGCAGCTCAGAGAGAAGACTATGAAACGACGACACCTGCTCAAAGGCGGCATCGCCCTACCCTTTACCCCGCTGGCACTCTCCGCCTGCTCTGGCGGCAGCGGCGCAGACAATATGTATCTGCAGAATAACTTTGCCGGGGTCGCGGATGAAACCACTGCGACAAGTCTGCAGGTCACTGGCTCCATCCCGGCAGATCTCAGCGGTCGCTTTCTACGTAATGGACCTAATCCTGGCGCTGACGTTGATGCTGGCTCGTACCATTGGTTCACCGGCCGCGGCATGGTCCATGGCCTGCGCCTGAACGAAGGCAGAGCCGAGTGGTACCACAGCCGTTTTGTGGGTGGCAGCGCCGCCAACACTAACGTCATTGGTCACGCTGGTCGCACCCTGGCCATAGTTGAATCTGGCGGCTTACCTCAGGATATGAGCTACACCCTGGATTCCCTGGGCGACAACACGTCTATCGGTACTGGCTATACCGCGCACCCTAAACTCGACCCGGATACCGGCGAATTACATGCCATTTGTTACGACTGGGCATCATTACGCGATCACGTGCGTTATGTTGTGGTGGACGCTGAGGGTGAATGGGCGGACGAAACAGAGATTCCGTTAAGTGGCATGCCAATGATTCACGACATGAGCCTCACGGCGAATTATGTGGTGATCTACGACCTACCCGTTACCTTGAGTTTCATGGCCCTGGGCACCGGCGCGTCCTTCCCCTTCCGCTGGGATGACGAACATGAACCCCGCATCGGCCTGATGCCACGCAACGGCGATGCCAGTGACATCATCTGGTCGCCCATAACCGCTAACTACGCTTATCACCCGATGAATGCATACGAAGATGCAGCCGGTAACGTCGTCATAGATATTTGTCGCTACGACAAAATGTTCGACAACGATATAAACGGACCGTTTGGAGACAGCCTGCCGCGCCTGGACCGCTGGACGGTCAACCCGAACACCCGCAAAGTGAGCGAAACCGTTGTGGATGCGCGCACCCAGGAATTCCCCCGTATTCATCCCGCATTAAACGGTAAGCCTTATCAATACGGTTACACCGTCGCGGTGGCCGGAGGTGCAGGCAAATATGGATTCCCATCCATCTTAAAACACGATATGCGTTCGGGTACTTCCACTGAATTCACCATGGGTGCAGGCAGACAAAGTGCAGAACCCGTATTTGTTCCTCGGCAAGGGGCAACAGATGAAGATGACGGCTACCTGATGACCTATGTTTTTGATGCCAACAAAAATACCAGTGACCTGCTTATTCTGGATGCCCAGGACTTGTCCCGCCCAGCCCTTGCGCAGGTTCATCTGCCCAGTCGTGTACCGTATGGGTTCCATGGTAACTGGGTGGCTGATACAACGGTCGCGCCCACCAGCTGATTTTTGTAAGTTAGAAGGAAGCTGTGCGGACGCTTAGCGTTCTCACTAGCTTTTTAAGCTGGCATCACGAATGCTTTGTAGTTGATCGCGAAGGGCTGCCGCCTCCTCAAACTCCAGATTCTGTGCGTGTTGCAACATCTGCTTTTCAAGCTTTGCCAGCAGTTTACCTAAGGCTCGGGGATCTCTGGGTATTTCAATAACCTGCTTATCTTTATCTTTCTGGCGACCGGCATTCTTCGGTGCGCCTGGGCCCACCACCCTTGCACCTTCCATGATGTCAGCAATAGATTTGGTGATGGTTGTGGGTGTTATGCCATGTTCAGTATTGTAGGTGACCTGCTTTTCACGGCGACGATCGGTTTCACCAATGGCGCGCTCCATGGAACCCGTTATCCTGTCTGCGTAAAGAATTGCACGGCCGTGCAGATTTCGTGCTGCGCGCCCGATGGTCTGGATGAGAGACCGCTCTGAACGCAGAAACCCCTCTTTGTCAGCATCTAAGATGGCAACTAGAGAGACTTCGGGCATATCCAGACCCTCGCGTAGAAGGTTAATACCCACCAGCACATCAAACTCACCAAGGCGCAGGTCGCGAATGATTTCCATCCGCTCTACCGTGTCGATATCTGAGTGCAGGTAGCGGACGCGCACACCATGCTCATCCAGGTATTCGGTTAAGTCTTCAGCCATGCGTTTGGTGAGTGTCGTCACCAGTACACGCTCACCCGCCGCAATCACATCATCAATCTCGCCGCGCAGATCTTCAACCTGGGTCGTCGCCGGGCGAATGATGATCTCGGGGTCAACCAGACCTGTGGGTCGCACCACCTGCTCAACAACCTGCCCGCCTTTTTCCGCCTCATAGTTAGACGGCGTTGCAGAAACAAATATCATCTGCGGTGCAAGCCGCTCCCACTCATCAAATCGCAACGGGCGGTTGTCCAACGCGGAAGGCAGACGGAAGCCAAATTCAACCAGGGTCTCTTTGCGCGAGCGATCGCCTTTATACATCGCGCCAATCTGCGGCACCGTTACATGGGATTCGTCGATGACCAGCAAGGCATCTTTGGGCAGATAATCGAACAGCGTTGGCGGTGCGTGCCCGGGCTCACGACCCGACAAGTAGCGCGAATAATTTTCGATACCGGAGCAATAACCCAATTCCTGGATCATCTCCAGATCAAATCGGGTCCGCTGTTCGAGTCGCTGAGCCTCAACCAGCTTATTGTTTGTGGTCAGGTAATTAAGCCGATCCTGCAGCTCTTCTTTGATGTCATCCAGCACGCTCAACATGCGATCACGCGGGGTCACGTAGTGAGTTTTTGGAAACACGGTATAACGGGGTACCCGATTGATGATTTCACCCGTCAACGGATCAAACACCGAAAGGTCTTCAATCTCATCATCAAACAGCTCAACACGAATGGCTTCTTTTTCTGATTCCGCCGGAAAGATATCGACCACATCACCGCGCACACGATAGGTGCCGCGTTGAAACACCTGATCGTTGCGGGTGTACTGCAGCTCAGCCAGCCGCATCAAGAGTTGACGCTGGTCGACACGGTCACCTCGATCTAGATGCAGCACCATACGCAAATAAGACTGGGGATCACCCAAACCGTAAATGGCGGAGACAGAGGCAACCAGGATTGTATCGCGTCGTTCTAACAGCGCCTTAGTGGCTGACAGTCGCATCTGTTCAATATGAGCATTGATAGACGAATCTTTTTCAATGTAGGTATCGGAAGCCGGTACGTAGGCTTCAGGCTGGTAGTAGTCATAATAGGAAACAAAGTATTCCACCGAATTGTTGGGGAAAAACTCTTTGAACTCGCCGTACAATTGTGCGGCAAGAGTTTTGTTGGGCGCCAGTACCAACGTTGGACGCTGGACCTGCTCAATAACCTTGGCAATGGAAAATGTCTTTCCGGAACCCGTTACGCCGAGCAGCGTCTGATGGCTGAGCCCTGACTCAAGCCCTTCCACCAGACCCGCAATTGCAGCGGGCTGATCCCCCGCAGGTTCGTATTCAGATTCAACCCGGAACGGATCAGCATTGCTCACGGCATTACATCCTGACAAACATCAATGTGCAGTCTAAGACGCTTCGCCTTCTTCAGCATCACTTTCAGACGCTTCTGCTTCACCAGCTGCTTCTGTTGCGTCTTCTGCTGCAGCTTCAACTTCGGGCTCTGGTTCAGGCGCTTTGGGCGCAGGCGCCGTTATCAGGCCATGCTCCAGTAGAATGGCAACTTTTTCAGCGCCATTTATCGGCTTCTTGTTTGCGCCAACAACCGCGTAGCGGCTGTCTTTGCGCTGAACGATGGTATAAGCATCGGTACTCGCAACTATTTTCATCACTTTCTCCATTGGTTTAAAGCGGCGGCACTCTACCCTGTCTGGCTGCAGAGTCAATCTGACTGAGCGCCGAGCAAATAACCATATACCATCTCAATCCAAGTCAAATGTCGCAAATAAGCCCAAGTTCGCTACAATGCGCGCCTATTTTTTTGGCAGAAAAGTAAAGTGGAACAACAACTTGGCGGCAAATTAAGCCACGTCATCCGATTCGCTGGCGACTCTGGAGACGGCATCCAGCTGCAGGGGCAGCAATTCACCGTGGCTTCTGCCATGTCCGGACACGACTTATCTACCCTGCCTGACTTTCCAGCAGAGATTCGCGCACCAGCGGGGACGCGTTACGGTGTTTCCGCCTTCCAGATCCAGTTCGGCGGCGATCGCATCACAACACCGGGTGATGCGCCAGATGTACTGATAGCGTTTAACCCAGCAGCCCTGGTGGTAAATCTGGGTAACCTGAAAGCGGACTCTCTGATTCTGGTTGATGCCAACGCCTTTACCACCCAACGCCTGAAACGCGCGGATCTGCAATCTAATCCCCTTGAAGATGGCACCCTGGACAAATACCAGGTTGTGCCGATCGACATCAGCAATCTGACCGTAGAAGCGGTAAAACCCCTTGGCCTGGGTACCAAAGACGCCGGTCGCTGTAAGAACTTCTGGGCACTGGGCCTGATTCTGTGGATGTTTGATCAACCCCGCGAGCCGACAAGAAACTGGATCAACCAGAAATTTGCCAGCAACGAGCAAATTCGGGACGCTAATCTGGTTGCTTTGGATGCTGGCCATGCATACGGCGAAAACACTGAGGTCGCCCAGATTCTGCACCAGCAGCATACCCCCCAGGCGCCACTGGACAGTGTTGAGTACCGCACCATCACCGGCGCGGAAAACCTCGCCCTGGGCCTTGTCGCTGCCGGTGAATTAGCAGATACAGAACTTATGTTCTGCTCGTACCCGATCACGCCAGCTTCCAGCTTGCTGCACCACCTGGTGGGACTGGAAGAGGCAGGTGTTGCCACATTTCAGGCGGAAGATGAAATAGCCGCAGTCTGCGCCGCCATCGGCGCCTCTTATGCAGGCAAGCTTGGCATCACTTCATCCAGCGGACCCGGCGTTGCCTTGAAAATGGAAGCGCTGGGGTTAGCGGTTGCCACCGAGCTGCCCCTGGTGCTGGTCAACAGTCAGCGCGCCGGCCCTTCCACTGGCATGCCCACCAAAACCGAGCAAAGCGACCTTTACCAGGCCGTCTACGGACGCAACGGTGACACGCCTCTGCCCGTTGTTGCCGCTCGATCGCCAGCAGACTGTTTTGATGCTGCCATCGAAGCGGTGCGCATTGCGCTACGCCACATGACACCGGTGATTTTGCTGACCGACGGTTACATCGCCAATGCATCAGAACTGTGGCCAATTCCTGATTTTGCGCAATATCCGGCAATTGATACCCACAAACCCACTGCAGCGACCCAACAAGCGGTTTTCGAAAGGCAACCCGATACCCATGCACGCCTCTGGGCGGCCCCCGGCGATGCCCGGTTCGTTCACCGGGTGGGTGGCATCGAAAAAGACGTGGATACCGGCAACATCTCCTACGATGCAGCTAATCATCAGGCGATGACCGATGTGCGTTCGCAGAAAGTTGCCAGTGTTGCTGATTTTATCGAGCCGCAGACCATCGACCAGGGTGTGTCAGGTGGTGTGGCGGTAGTGGCGTGGGGATCAACCTACGGCACCCTCTACAAAGCAGTGAAAGACGCACTGGCAGCAGGCGAACAGGTCGCCCACATCCATCTGCGGCACATCAACCCTCTGCCATCCAATCTGGGTGAGCTGCTGGCCGGTTTTGAGACCATTATTGTGCCGGAGCTGAACACAGGCCAACTGGCCACGCTGCTGCGCGATAAGCTCAATGTTCGGGTGGAACAATTCAACAAAGTCACCGGCCAGCCGCTTAATGTGGACGAAGTCAGAGCGTTCATTTCGAAGTTTGCCCCCAGCACCCCAAAAACGACCCTTGAGCCGCAGGAACAGGTAGGAGGTTGATATGAATGCATTGACGTTTAAAGATTTTGCCACAGATCAGGAAGTACGCTGGTGCCCCGGGTGCGGCGATTACGCTATTTTAAAAAGCGTACATAAAGCCCTTGCCGAAGGGGGTTCTGTACCTGAAAAAACGGTATTTGTGTCAGGCATCGGCTGCTCATCGCGACTGCCTTACTACGTAAACACCTACGGCTTCCATACCATTCACGGCCGCGCACCGGCATTTGCAACTGGTGTAAAACTGGCAAACCCTGAACTGGAAGTATGGGTGGTCACCGGCGATGGCGACGGTCTGTCCATTGGTGGCAACCACCTGCTGCATACCCTGCGTCGCAATATCGACCTGAATATCCTGTTGTTCAACAATGAAATTTATGGCCTGACCAAAGGGCAGTACTCACCCACTTCAAGACCTGGCACGCACAGCCCGACCAGCCCGGCTGGTTCTGTTGAAGCGCCGCTGGCACCTGGTCAGTTTGCCATCGGTGCAGGCGCAACCTTCTTTGCCCGCTGTGTCGACATCGACCAGAAAACCATGCCGGGGCTGTTCAACGAGGCAAAGCACCATAAAGGCAGCAGCTTTGTTGAAATTCTGCAGAACTGCATCGTTTACAACAAAGACGTGTTCGACGATGTTGTCGCCAAAAAGACCGCCGCAGAAACACAAATTCATGTCCGTCACGGCGAGCCGTTGCTGTATGGCGCCAATAATGAGAAAGGTCTAAGACTCAATCCGAAGACCCTGAGCCTGGAGTGTGTCACTCTGGGCGAAGATGGCGTCACGCTGGAGGACATACAGGTGCATGACGAGACCAACCCCACGCTTGCCCTGCTGCTGGCCAATCTGCATCTGCCAACCGCCATGGGTGTCATTCTGCGCACCGAAAGAGCCGCATTTGACGAAAGCTACTGGTCAATACGCACCCATGAACGACGCCAGAAGGTTGAACAGTTGTTACGCACCGGGAACATGCTGGATCGACGCTCCAAGTAAGCTGGCCTCTGCCCGGCTTACTTTCTACCCTCCCTTCCTCGCCGGGGCCAGTGTGCCCTGGCGCACATTTCGTTACTTTGCGTAACAAAGCCCTTGATGTTCCGCAAATTCCAACTAGACTTGCCCTGACCATGGTGGTCTGACCAATTCGGACAGACCAAACTCATACGCCAGACAGTCGAAGACGGTTACTGGCACCTTTGGAGCATGTTTCCTTGGCTGGAAAACACGACATCATCGCCGGCAGCCTGATTCAGGATATTCTGTCCGGTCACTACCGGGTTGCAGAACGCCTGCCCTCTGAACGAGACCTGGCGGCACGTTTCGATGCTAATCGCGGCGCTGTGCGCGAGGCGATGAAAAAACTGGAACAGATTGGCCTGGCCGAAGTTCAACCCGGCGGCGCCCGGGTGAAAAAAACTGAGGACGCCAGTCTCGACGTCATCGGTCACCTGCTTGCACAAGGCGATCTGCCGGACCCCAGGCTGGTCGATCAGATTCTCATGGTCATCAACTCCATGGTCAGCATGGCCGCTCAGCAAACCCTGGAGCTGGCCAGCGATGACGAAATTACCGCTATACGAGAACTGGTTAAACCACTGATCCACGACGAGCTGGGCAAAGAAGCCCACACACTGGCACGATTCGAGTTAATGGAGTCATTCATGTCTGCCAGCTGCAATCTGCCGTTACGGCTGATTGCACGCACACTGTTCGAACAGGTCGCGCCGAATCTGACAGCCATCCACCCTTTTGCTGTTATCGACAACAGTCGCTACCGGGATTTTGCCGTTCAGCTCGATGCCGCGCTGGCCAAACGCGACCAGGAAGGGGTTCGTAAATCCTTCACCGCTTTTTCAAATTTGAATCAGGAAACCATGATGCGCGCGTTTGACAGCGCTCGCGCCGCTGTTGGCCAGGAGGCCGTCACACCATGATACGTACGTTTGTTATCCCGCTGATTATTGTTGTTGTATTTATTTTTGGTGCGATGACGCTGATGGCAACCGCGCCGGTGCTTGAACCCGCTGCGCAGACACCCATTCCCACCACGGTTCGTATCCGCGAGGTGCAGGCTGAATCGGTACAGCTGAAGGTTCACTCCCAGGGCAGCGTTATGCCATCTACGGAAAGCCAGCTGATCCCTGAGGTTTCGGGCCGCATCACCTGGATGTCACCAAAACTGGTTGCTGGTGGATTCTTTGAAAAAGGCGAGCTGCTGGCCGAGGTAGACAAGTCCGATTATCAGAATATGAAAGACCGGGCTAAAGCGAATCTGGTACGCGCCGAAGCAGAACAACAGCATGCCAGCTTCGAATATCAGCGTTTGAAAAGCCTTGAGGAGCGGCAACTGGCTGCTCGCTCGCAGATGGAAAACTCACTGCGCGCCCTGCGGGTAGCGGAAGCTACCTTACAGGACGCAAAAGTTAGCTTTGAGCAGGCGCAACAGGACATCGCCCGCACCGAACTTCGTTCTCCCTTTACCGGTCTGGTACGTTCTGAAAATGTGGATATCGGCCAGTTTGTATCCCGCGGCTCACCAATTGCAACGCTTTATGCCAGCGACCTGGTTGAGGTGCGACTGCCTATAGCAGACCGTCAACTGGCTTTTTTGAACTTACCTCCGATGATGCGCGGCGAACTGCCACCCGAGATGCAACCCGATGTCATCCTGCGCACGGAATACGCGGGGCAACAGCTGACCTGGAAAGGAAAAATTGTTCGCACTGAAGCAGAAATCGACATTTCCAGCCGTATGGTGCAGTTGGTTGCCAGAGTCCCCAGCGATGGCGCCCAGCAACCGCTGGCGGTGGGCTTATTTGTGAACGCAGAAATTCAGGGGCTTTCAGCAGAAGATATTTTTGTTTTACCGCGCTCAGCGCTGCGTAATAACAATCAGGTATTGGTTGTCGACGCCGAAGACAAGCTGAGATTCAGAGCCATTGAACCTTTACGCCTCTATCAGGATAACGTTCTGGTTCAGTCAGGTTTAAGCAACGGCGATCGGGTCTGCCTGTCACCCATCCAGACAGCCATTGAAGGTATGACGGTCAACCCGATCATCGAAGACGCGTAAAGGACACTTCCACCCATGTACACTGCGATCCGATGGTTTGCGCACAATCCTGTTGCCTCCAATCTGCTGATGATTCTGCTGCTCCTGGGTGGCGCCTTTGGCGCTATCACCACCAACCAGGAAGAATTCCCCAACTTTGATATCAAAGTTGTAAACGTTCGGGTGGTCTACCTGGGCGCGGCGCCCGTGGAAGTAGAACGATCAGTCTGCATCCGCATTGAAGAGGCCATCGAAGGCCTGGAGGGCATCGACAAGCTTCGTTCAACTGCCACCGAAGGCATCTGCAACGTGACTGCTGAACTGCTTTCTGAAGCCGATGAGGTGGGTGTCCTTAACGAAATAAAGAGCCGAGTTGACGGCATCAACAGCTTTCCGGCTGAAACTGAAAAACCAATCGTCTCCAAGCTTGCTGTCACCCGCCGGGTTGTGCAAATAGCCGTGTCCGGCGACACTGATGAGCGCACCTTAAAAGAAGTGGCGCGTGAACTGCGCGATGATATCGCTGCCGTCGACGGTATTTCACAAGTGGCGGTGGAATACATTCGACCTTACGAAATTTCTGTTGAAGTATCGGAACAGGAACTAAGGCGCTACGGCATCACGCTGAATCAGGTCAGCCAGGCCATCGCGCAAAGCTCCCTGGATATGCCTGGCGGCACAATCAAGACCTCTAACGGTGAAATTCTGATACGCACCACGGGGCAGGCTTACTGGGGTCAGGAGTTTGAAGACGTTGTTGTGCTGACGCGCTCAGATGGCACCCGGGTAACACTGCGCGATCTGGGCATTATTCGCGATACCTTTGAAGAAGGTGATTTGCTGGCGCGTTTTAATGGCAAACGTGGCGTTGTGGTCAACGTATCTCAAGTCGGTAATGAAGACCTCATAGAAATCGCAGAAGATGTCCGCCAGCTTGTCGACAATTACCCGGTACCTGAAGGTATCTCTCTGAATACCTGGATCGACACCTCCTTTGAATTGCAGGAACGTATGTCGGTACTGACAGCAAACGCTGGCGGCGGCCTGGTTCTGGTGCTGGTTATCCTTGCCCTGTTCCTGAAATTCCGGGTAGCCATGTGGGTAGCCATCGGCATTCCTGTCGCCTTGTTAGGCACTCTGGCTGCGCTGCCTTTCACCGACATCAACATCTCTACCATGACCGTCATGGCGTTTATTCTGGTTTTAGGGATTGTCGTTGACGACGCCATTGTTGTTGGCGAGCGCATCTTTGCCCAGGAACAGACCGGCAAACCACCCCTGACCGCTGCGGTTGATGGCACCTGGGAAGTATCGGTGCCGGTTATTTTTGGCGTTCTGACGACCGTGGCCGCCTTCCTGCCGTTGATTATGGTTGAAGGCCGTATGGCCGGCTTCTTTTCTCCTATCGGGTGGGTCGTTATATTTGCGTTGATCTGCAGCGTTATTGAATCCCAACTGATTCTGCCCTCACACCTTGCGCATCGGAAACACAGCGAACCCACCACCGGCCTATCAGCCGCCTGGAATCGTTTCCAGGGCGGACTGGCTAACTGGCTGCAGAACATTGCCTCAGATCACTATCAGCCCTTTGTAAAGAAGGTCATCCAATGGCGTTATGCCAGTGCCGCAATTGGCCTGGGCGTATTGATTCTGGCCCTGTCACTGATCGCCAGCGGCCGCGTTGTGTTTGGTTTTTTCCCAGCCATTGAAGGTGACCGGGTTTATGCCGGGCTGGAACTGCCGGAAGGCATCGCGGCTGAAACCACACTGGCGGCGGCGGCACGTATAGAAGAAGCAGCCCTGCGATTAAACGACGATATGACCGAGGAATTCGGCTTATCTCAACCGTTGGTACGCAACATTCTTTCGAGTGTCGGTCAGAATGTTGATCGCAACGGACCCGGCCGCCCTGCGGGTGCGGGACGCAGCAACATTGCTGAAATAGTCATCGACATTGCGCCTCTGGCTGAGCGCAATAATATCAGTACAAAACTGGTGGTTACCCGCTGGCGTGAATACGTCGGCTCTGTATCAGATGCGGTCAAGCTGACCTTCGATGCTGACACCTATTCAGCCGGCTCTCCCATCGAATACCAGCTCAAAGGTAAAGATGTGGAAGAACTACGCGAAGCCGCTGAACAGATGAAATCTGAGCTGTCCCGCTACGATGGCGTATTCGACATACGCGACTCATTCCGCTCGGGCAAACAGGAAATTCAACTCGACCTATTACCCGAAGCACGCAACCTCGGCTTAACTCTGGCAGATCTGGCAGGCCAGGTTCGCAGCGCATTTTATGGCGCCGAAGCCCAGCGCCTGCAACGCGGACAGGATGACGTCAGGGTTATGGTGCGTTTTCCCGAGTCGGAACGAAAATCTATCGGCAATCTCGAAGACATGTACATCCGCACACCGGATGGTAGTGAAGTCCCCTTCTACAGCGTTGCCAGCTTTGAAATCAGCCGTGGTTACTCGAGCATCAATCGTCTCGATGGTCGACGAACTGTAACTGTCAGTGCAGATGTCGATCGGTCTACGGTTGCGCCGGAAGAGGTAAGTGCCAGCATCCGCGCGGAGTTAGTACCCGACTTCCAGAAACGCTACCCTAACATCGACATCGAACTGGGTGGCGAACAGGAAGAACGCAGCACTGCGATGGGCGGACTGTTAGTGGGCGCCCTGTTTTCCCTGGTGGTTATTTATGGCCTGCTGGCCATACCCCTGCGCAGCTATTTACAACCGTTTGTGATCATGAGCGTGATCCCATTCGGCGCCGTGGGTGCAATTGTTGGCCACTGGGTACTGGAAGTACAACTGATGTTCTTCTCAGCGCTTGGCATTGTTGCACTCTCTGGTGTTGTGGTGAATGCCTCCCTTGTACTGGTTGATGCCGCCAATCGGCTGCGTCGGGAAGGCAAAGAAATTTATGAAGCGATCACTACCGCCTGTGTCGTCCGTTTTCGCCCCATCATGCTGACCTCGGTCACTACCTTTGTCGGGCTGATACCACTCATGGCCACTTCAACACCCGCAACCGCACCGTTTAAACCCATGGCGGTTTCTCTAGCCTGGGGCGTTCTGTTTGCCACGTTCATCACCTTGTTACTGGTGCCCTGTCTGTATCTGATGGTGGAAGACTGGCTACATCAGATAGAGCGTTTCAAAGCCTGGCTTGGTCGTAAACCCACACCGGTACGGCAGGATTCATACGCACAACCAGGCTCTGGCGGCTGACATAAGCCTTTGTGTCGACTGCTGCGTCCCGCGCAGCTAAGCTGCGCGGACGCGCGCCATGGACGACTATCATTCAGAAATTCCCTACTACCCGTGCTGGTTGGCACCAGCGCATCTGGCAGCTGACCTGGCCGGTCATTCTCGCCAACATCACGATTCCCCTGGTTGGCCTGGTGGACGTTGCCGTAATGGGGCGATTTCCCGAACCTAAATTCATTGCCGCTGTGACGCTGGGCGCCACGCTGTTCAGCGCGGTGTACTGGTTGTTTGGTTTCCTGCGCATGAGTACCACAGGCCTCACCGCCCAGGCTTACGGGGGCGGCAACATCAACGAAGTGCTCGCGGTATGTCTGCGTGCCGGTGCAGTTGCGTTAGCGATCGGTGCAGCCATTGTAATACTGCAGACGCCGTTGAAGCTGCTGCTCTTCCAGTTGTTCAATGCCTCTCCAGAAGTTACAGAGCTTGCCGCTACTTACTATGAAATCAGAATCTACGGCGCACCTGGCCTGCTTCTGTATCTGGTTGCTCTGGGCACCCTGTTCGGCTTGCAACGCATGCGCGATACGCTGTGGTTAAGCATTGGCTTCAATCTGTCGAACATCATCCTCAATGCAGTACTGGTACTGGTATTGAATTACGGGGTTGCTGGTGTGGCCCTGGGCACCATTATCAGCGAATGGTTCGCCGCCGTCGCCGGCATCGGGTTTGTTTACCGGGCGCTGCAGACCAGTGGCTGGCAGGGTCAGTGGCCCGCACACATCTGGATCGGTGACGCTGTGCGCGCATTGTTTCATATCGGATCGAACCTGATTCTGCGGACGTTTTTTGTGCAACTGCCTTTTTTTGTCGGCACCGTTATGGCGACAAGCCTGGGGGACGTCACGCTGGCTGCACACGGCGTGCTTATGCAGCTGTTTTTTGTCATGACATACGGTCTTGATGGCTTTGCCCACACGGCGGAAACCCTTGCGGGCTATGCTTATGGCGGACGCGCACCTGACAACCTGCGTCGCACAACAAGATTCTGCGCGTTCTGGGCGGTTGTCGTCGCTGTCGCCACAGGCTTGATGTTCTGGATCTTCGGCGAGTTTGTTATCTCGCTGCTGACCACTTCAGCCCCCGTGCAGGAAACCGCGGCGGCGTATTTACCCTGGCTGATCATCAGTCCATTGCTGTGTGTCTGGGCTTTTCTTTTCGACGGTATCTTCATCGGCACCACCCACATCGTTGAAATGCGCAACGCGATGATCCTGTCAGCCCTGATCTGGGCAATCAGCCTGATCGGCTTCTTTCACCTGTGGGCGTACCACGCAGTCTGGCTTGGCATGAGCATATTTATGATTAGCCGCAGTATACTGCTGGGGCTGTATTACCCGCGTATTGAACAGGCGGCAGCGCAGTAAATATTTCTGCTTAAGGGGAAAAGCAATGGCACGATCTACAAAAAACAGACGGTTACGCGTGGGATTCATCGGCGCCGGGGACATCGCTGAATTACAAATGGCCAAGTTCGCCAGTCGTGCGGACGTAGAGCTGGTAGCGTTCGCCGACCTGAACGAGAAAAGCCTCGCAAAAAGACAGGCCATCTACCCGGATGCTGCCGTCTACACCGACTATAAGCAGATGCTAAAACGGCAGACATTAGACGCGGTAAGTGTCTGCACCCCTAACCGCTTTCATGCTGCGCCGACCATTGCCGCTCTCAAAGCCGGTTGTCATGTGCTGTGCGAAAAACCTCTGGCGATGACAATCGCAGAAGGCCGACGTATGGCCAAAGCTGCCAAACAAGCCAACAAACAACTGGTGGTTGCGTTTCAATACCGCCTTGATCCTCGCACTCAGTATCTGCGACGCGCTTTTGAGGAAGGCGCGTTTGGCGAGGTGTTGTTCGGACGCGTACAGGCCATGCGCCGCCGCGGCATCCCCAACTGGGGTGTGTTTGGTCAAAAAGCGCTCTCTGGCGGTGGTCCGATTATCGATATCGGTGTCCACGTTCTGGAAATGGCCCACTTCACCATGGGTAGCCCACAACCTGTCAGCGCCAGCGCCGACATGTTCACCTATCTTGGCAACCAACCATCAGACGCCATTGCAAGCCCGATGGCAGGGTGGGATTACAAAACCTACGATGTCGAAGACCTGGCTGTGGGTCGAATCCGATTTGCAAATGGCGCAGTGCTGCACATTGAGTGTGCATTTGCCGCCCATATCGGTGAGCGCAGCCTGATGAATTTTCAGCTCATGGGCAGCAAAGGTGGGGCCACCTGGGACCCAACGGTGATTCACACAGATGAAGCGGGGCATATGGTCGACAAAACCCCCGCATGGCTGGCGGATACCTCATTCAAAGCAGTGTTTAATCGCAAAATTGACAGCTTTGTTGAACAGCTTCTCTACAAAGGGCCCTGTGCGGCTCCGATAGAGGATGCCCTGATGGTGCAATCGATGCTGAATGCCCTTTACGACTCAGCACGCAAAGATGGCAAAGAAGTACCCATCCGGATATAAAATAGATTAAAAAGTGGTTCAGCGCACGTTCAGATTGTCGATGTTGAACTGCTTTCAAACCATAACCGATTTGGGCTGAACCAATGTTATTCCTTCGCACACCACACCTGATTGTACTGTTGAGCACGGTCCTGCTTGCTGCAGGCTGCGCCAACCGCAATATCATCATCGACCCTAAAGGGGTCAACATGACCCAATACAATCAGGATCTGAGCGAATGTACTGTCCTTGCTGAACAGGTCAACGTGGGCGGTCAGACCGCCGGGCGAGCGCTGGCTGGCGCTGCAGTGGGTGCCGCTATAGGCGCGGCGGTTGGCAACAGTGACACCGCGCAACGCGGCGCAGGCGTGGGTGCAGTAGCCGGTGGCGCTGAAGGCGCAGGTCGCGCAGCCAGCGAAAAACAGGCCGTGGTGCGCAACTGTCTGCGTAACCGCGGCTACTCGGTGCTGAACTGACAAACCACTAAGTAGTTACCCTTAAAAGCCCAATTTTTCGGGCATTTCACGTCAGACACGCTCCGGCATTGCTGGCGCCTGCCGGGTAGATGTGAGTAAAATCAATCCCCTGGAATCGCCAGTTGAATCAACCAAATAAAGAGGGGAACGATGGCAGAAGCAGCTCTGGAAAACCCAGACCTTTTCGACTTAACCATGTCAGAAGAGGCTCAGCCTCTACTTGATGCGGTTAAAAAACACATCAAAGAAAACGTAGAACCAATAACCGAGGAATTCTACGCACTCGGCGAAGGCCGCGCAGACCGCTGGAGTTGGGCACCTGGCCAGCTCGAGCTACTCGATACCGTCAAGCAGAAAGCCAAAGACAACGGTCTATGGAATTTCTTTTTGCCTGATGCCGATACCGGCGAGGGCCTGTCCAACCTGGACTATGCCTATATCGCAAACGAACTGGGCAAAAACAGCCTGGCTTCCGAAACCTTGAACTGCTCTGCGCCTGACACAGGCAACATGGAAGTACTCGAGCGTGTCGGCACACCTGCACAGAAAGAACAGTGGTTAAAACCTCTGTTGAACGGTGAGATCCGCTCTGCATTTGCCATGACAGAACCTGGTCTGCCCTCTTCTGATGCCAAAAACATCAGCACCGCAGCTGTACTTGAAGGCGACGAGTGGGTCATTAATGGTGAGAAATTCTATATCTCAGGCGCCGGAGATCCTCGCTGTAAGATCATGATTACCATGGTAAAAACCAGCCCGGATGCACCGCCACATAAGCAGCAGTCGCAGATCCTTGTGCCCATTGATACCCCCGGGGTAAACATTCTTGAAGGCATGGAAGTCTTTGGCCAGGATGATGCCCCGCACGGCCACATGCATATCAAATTTGATAACGTGCGTGTGCCTAAAGAAAACATGTTGCTCGGCGAAGGTCGTGGCTTCGAAATTTCTCAGGTTCGTCTCGGCCCTGGTCGTATCCACCACTGCATGCGCTCTATTGGTGCTGGTGAACGCGCCCTTGAACTGATGATCCGCCGTGCCAGCACCCGCAGTGCGTTTGGCCGTCCAATCATCCAGTTGGGTAAAAACATCGAAGTGGTATCGCGCGCACGCATCGAATTGGACGCTTGTCGTCTGATGGTGCTTCAAGCTGCCAGAGCCATGGATATCATGGGCAACAAAGAAGCCCGTATCCATGTCAGTGCGGTGAAAGCGATGGTTCCAGAGAAAGTCTGCAAGATCATCGACCAGGCCATCCAGATGCATGGCGCAACCGGTGTATCCCAGTGGAGCCCGCTGTCACGCATGTATGCTGGCCAGCGTACTTTGCGTATCGCTGACGGTCCTGATGAGGTGCATCACATGGTTGTTGGTCGTCACGAGGTTCGTAAATACGAAGGTTCGTAAGGTCACCTATCTGAAGAGAATAAAAAGCCCACGCTAGCGTGGGCTTTTTTTTAGGTTTGAAAAGAGAAGCGTACGCCGCTTCGAACGGGTAGCGGACGGCCATCGTCCAGATAAGGTTCAAAACGCCACTTTTTAACCGCACTCAGAGCGGGCTCCAGCAGTTCAGAACTACTGGCTTCAACAACCTCTATGTCTTTCACGCCGCCATCTTCATCCACGGTAAACAGAAGTTCGACCCAACCACCCTGTGAATTCCTGGGCAGGATGGGCGCACCCTGACGTCGTACAACCAACTCTCGAATAGCCAATACCGTGTCGAAGTTACCCGCTCTGGCAGTCGCCCGCCGCTGCAGGAAATCCAATTCCGATTTTATGCCACGTAACTCGGAATTAGTTGCACCTGCCTGCTCAGCCTGGCTGACCAGCGTAGCCGCCTCGGCAAGGCGCTCTTCGCGGGCGAGCGCCCAGGCCTGATCCAACAACCCGTCAATCACTAGGCTAACCCCGGACTGCGCGGCGCTGGAGTTAGGGTCTTTCTTCAACACTGATTGATAGTGATCAAGCGCACCTATCCCGGTGGGTGAATGAATACCCAGGAGGTGCCCCTCCTGCATAGCCTTCGCAGCAGCAAGCAGGTCTTCTTTGACCGCCTGATCTTTGACCATATCAGTCCACTGCAAGGTGAGTTTCTCAGTTTGCGCAATACCGGGGGCATCTGGAGCAATGCTTTTTGCCAGCGCAATAAGCTCGCGGGCGCGCGCATGATTGTCAGCAAAGGCTTCTGTTTGAGCGACAGTGGCCAGACGTTGGGCAACCGACTCAATGCCCTGTTGTGCAACGATGCTGGCGGGATCCATGCTGAGCATTTCTCGATAAGATGCCAGCGCATTGTTGCCTTCAGGTTTAGTCAGATTGCCGGCTGCAATCTGATCCACTGCGCGATCACCCAGCCATTTGATCCGTTCAAAACGCTCTACCCGGGTAACAACTGAGCGTGCAGCCAGGTTGTTTGCATCAATCGCTAGTGTTTGAGCGGCCCAGTCTGCAGCAGCTGACCAATCCTCTTTCAACAGCGCTGATTCAGCGGCATTAATCAGATAGCTGGTAATACGTTCGATACCTGCCAGCGCGGACAAATTTTCAGCGTCTCGAGCCAGCATTTTCTGGTAGAAGAACAATGCGCTATCACCTTCTGGTCGAGTGATCCGACCCGCAGCGTAAGCCTGTTCAGCACGTTGAATCCAGGTTGTCTCGGTGACATCAGATACGGTTGTGAGCGTAAACCTGGGAATCTCAGGCAGGTCGGATAGCACCTGCCCGGGGCCTTGTTTCAACATGAACCAGCTGCCAACCACGCCGAGAATAACCACCCAGGCAGCTACCGTGAAACTCTGGCCGATACTCAAACTGTTGCCGCGCCAGGCCAACCCATTCATGCTTGTGTACCCAACAGCCAGTGTTTAAAGCGCACCCACGCACTGGGTTTGGTGACCACATAGTCAAATGCAGCAAGCGCCTGACCACCACTATCCAGAAAGCGACGCATCGCCGAGGCCAACCAGATTTTGCACTGTCCCGCCTGTAAGGGTTTAAGTAAGAATCTGAACACCTGGCCTGAATTTATCAGCTGTATCAGAAGATTTGCATCCGAACGTTCACTGGCGAGAATGATGACAATCTCCGGCGTGACCTCGCGCACGGCCTGGCTCAGCTGCGCCACACCCTTTTCATCAACGCCAACATCTGTAACCAGCACACCGATGGGATGCTCCTGCACCATGCCCAGCACCTGGGTCTGACTTTTAGCCTGATGGACCCGGTGGTTTGGACTGGCGGCCGCGATGCCTTTGAACAGGGCTGTATCTTCACTGAAAACAAGAATATCAACGGCGACGGCAGGCGAAGCAGCGGGTTTCTCAGGCGCCGCTATCGCCGCTTTGCTTTTGGCGTTAATCGGCGTCACGTTGCTGACCGGTCTTTCATCGTCTTCAACATAAACAATGTCGTTCTCACCCAGCGGCGAGGCCGACCCGGCACCATTACGCAAATCCAAAGCGGCCTGTACAGCGCCACGCACTTCGTCTGCTGGACAGGGTTTCATCAGATACCTGAATACTTCCGCTTCATTGATTGAAGCTTCCACCGCTGCAAGGTCGGCATAGCCTGTAAGCAGAATTCGAACTGTTTCCGGCGATCGTTGTTTAATTTCGGCCAGCACCTCTACGCCGGTCATTTCCGGCATGCGCTGGTCTGATACCACCACTTCAACATTGTGTGATGCCAACAACTGCAGGGCTTCGGCCCCGGAGTTGGCCAGCAGAACATCGTAATCTCTGCGGAACATTGCGCGCATGGATTTCAGCACACGCTGTTCGTCATCTATGAACATGATGACCGGAGGTGTTCCGGTGGCCGCTTGCGCGGAAACGCTATTCATCAGGCTGCCTCCTCAGCGTCTGCTGGTTTCTGCTGAGGCCCTTTAACCGGAAAACTCAGCACTATGCGAGTCCCAACATTTTCTTTGGAATCTACAAATATCTGGCCTTCGTGCTGCTCTACAATCTGCCGCACAATCGACAATCCGAGACCGGTACCTTCGCCAACCGGCTTGGTGGTAAAAAATGGATCCATGATTTTGGTCAGGTGCTCCTGAGGAATACCACAACCAGTATCTTCAAAGACAATCTCAACACTGTCGCCCTTGGTAGTCTGGTTGTACGAGGTACTGATCTTCAGCACACCGCGACCATCCATAGCCTGCACCGCATTGGTGATGATATTGATAAACACCTGATTCAGACGCGACGGTGAACAATAAATTTCCGGAACGTCGCTGAAATTCTTCTGCACCTCAACACCCTGTTTAAGAAGGTTGCGGGTAATTGTCAGCGTCTTTTCTATGCCTTCGCGGACATCAAACGTGTCATCTGCAACGCGATCAAGGCGGGAGAAATCTTTCAGACTCTGCACCAGGTCACTGATCTGGTTCAGCCCATCAATGCTGTCCTGGGCAAGAGATTCGACCTCCTGCATGTTTTCGTCTATTTCATCCAGATCAAATTCATTACGCCGTGACAACAGCGCCTTGATTGCCTGCTTACCTTCTTCTGAAGACTGCGCTGCAAGAATTGGCTTGGTTGCCTCAACATATTTAGCCAGGTCTTCCACCGCTTCGGCAGTGACTGACGTGTTGTTCAGCACATACAGCAGGGGTGTATTAATTTCGTGCATCACTCCAGCCACCAGCTGACCAAGACTCGACATTTTCTCAGCCTGGACCAGCTGCACCTGACTTTCCTGGAGATTCTCATTGGCACGGGCCAGGTCAGCGGTACGCTCGACTACCCTCACTTCGAGATCGTCATGGGATCGATTCAGCGCTCTGTGACTGGCTGCCAGGCGTAGGCCAAAAAAGCCCAGAACTGCAAGCATCAACACGGTGTAAACATTGAGCAATACCCGAGCATCGTTGACTGCATTTAGCACATAGAGCTGATCGTTGGTGGTTGTATCGCTGAGTTGTTCCAGATGAGACAGCACAAGATCCTGCTGCATGGCGTCAATGGCCTGATTCATCGCTCTGCGTAGCGAAATCATTGTGTAGGTAGTATTTATCAGCGAACGAAGGTTACCCCGCTGATCGGTCGCCAGACTGGCTTCTACTTCTTCCAGCTGATCAACCAATGTGAGCACGCCATTCAGGTCTTCAACTCGACCATTGGCCAGTAGGGTTTTCACCTGTTCGGTATTCACATAGACGCTATCCGCCCGATTCTGATCACCTTTTTCTCGAAGCTCGCCAACGGCCGTATTGGCCAGCGTCGCGTAAGCGGCTTCAGCGGCTAACAGTTCCTGTTGGTTTGCGCCATAAGCTACAAATTCGTCTCGCAGCTGTTGTACGGATTGCAGCAGCTGATCGCTTTGATCAAGCACCAGAGTTGCAGCGCTCAACTGACCGGCTCCGGCGTCAATGAGATTCAGCCAGTCAATTACATACCAGCGCGCCTGAGCGAGCACGCCAACCGGCTGATACGTTTGGTTAAGGGCACGAGCAAGCGAGTCACTGCCCTGCTGCAATGCGTTATCAAGCCGTTGCACATCTGACCCTAGAGCCTGATGTTGGGCAATACCCACTTCAATGCCACGGGCAATTGAATTTGCTGCCTCTTCCAGATAAGCAGTATCGGTGGCAACCCGCGACAGTTGTTCAGGTGTTCTGGCAGTGGCGATCAATAACAGGATCGCAAGAATGCTGATCGCCATCACTATGCTGGCAACGGTGAACACCACACCTAATAATTTGCGATTCCCCATCCTTTAGACCCACGTAGGACATACCTTTGTCGATCAATAGGGTAACGGCACAGACTCAGTGACTCTGTGAGCTGGTTCACAGCAAAATTGTGGCTCTCTCACGGCTCGAACCAGTTTATTGATTCAGCGACCAGTTTTCGCCAAATGGCCGTATCACGGAGGAAAAAGACCAGGCTGAACGCGGCTGCAGCGCCATGCGATAACACTCCGCAGCGATATCCATAGGTTTACAGAAAAACTCATCAGGCTTGCCTTTATATAACTTGCGTGTCCACGGCAGATCAATCACCGCATCAATGGCGACATAACTGACATGCACACCCTTAGGGCCAAGGTCACGCGCTATGGCTTCAGCCAGAACGCGCTGGGCCGCTTTGCTCGGGGCAAAGCCGGCAAAGTTAGCAAGCCCCCTGTAAGCGGACGTGTTGCCCGTCACAACAATGGCTCCCTCTCCCGCCGCCACCATCGCTGGCGCCACCAGCCGCGCAAGATGCAGAAGCGCCATGGTGTTGACCTGGAAATTCTGATTAAGCACTTCAGGATCAATATCCATGAAACTACCAAACGCGCCACCGACAGCGTTATGCACAACAACTGTCGGCGGGCCCAGTTTCCTAACAACATCTGCAAGGGTTGCCTGCAGAGCGGCTGTATCTGTCACATCACAAGGGAAGGCATGGGCTGTGGCGTGTTCAGCACTGAGATCTATCAGCCGCTGTTCACTGCGAGCCAGCATAGCCACCTCATAATCCTGACAGAAGGTTTTTACCAGAGCACTACCCGTCCCCGGACCGACACCTGTAATCAAACATACTTTCTTTTTCATGGATAACTCGCCTGAGGGTCAATGGGCCACAATCTACGCTGAGTTTTTTGACGCGGAAAAATCTCAATCTGATGTGTGGTTAAACCAGGTGTGTCTGCGGTAACGATCTGGCTTGCCAGATGTTGGAATCCGGCGCGGAAGTGGTTACTGCTTTTCAGCGCGACGTACTTGTATTTATGTACATCAATACCCACCGCTAGAAAGGGTTCACGATCGAAGGTCTGACTGCGCTTGGACGCAACCACAACATCCATATCATCGATCACCAGACGCGCCATTAGACCAAGATTTATCGGTGCACCCCGGAACATATGCTGCATGATCAGGCGACCATCGTGTAGCGCTTTGACGTACGCGGCGGCCTCTATAGGTTCACCATGCAGCTTGTCGGTTTTACCACCCAGTTTGATCTGCAGGGTGGCGCCAACGCCGGCTTTGTGGGCCTGCGCGGCGGTTTGCGGATCCACCAGAAAGGCGAAACAGGCCTCTTTGCCTAAGCCGTCAGCAAGCATCGCCCGCAACAGATGGGTACCGTCCCCAGGGGTCCCGCCACCACAATTGTCTGAAGTTTCATGAATCACCACTGGGTAACTACCCACCTGCTTGGCTTCTTCCAGGGCTTCCTCTGCACTTAGTGAGCGCGCGCGGAACAGTTCCCGATTGTCCCAGAGGTGTTGAGCAAATTCGGCTAATGCAGCTTTAGCCGGTTCGAGCTGCTCCGGATAACAGGTCGCTACAACAGAACTGCCAACATGGGCTACGTCTGTATACGGAAAGCCGTGGAACCAGCTCAGATCTATACAGGGTGTACGGCTTTGCAGCTCAAGCAACTCTGCCAGGGTATCCTTCCCAGCACCTTCAAAGGTGGTTGTAGTAGGCATTAAAACAGGCAGTGCTACGAGGTGACATGCCGCATTAACGCCACGTTCATGCATTTCTCGGATAGCTTCAACAGCATCTGCGGCGCGAAGATGTAAATCGATGTGCGGATACTCGCGACAGGCAAAAATGCCGTTCAGCTGGTCTGCCATAAACTGGGTGGCATTACCGTGCAGATCAAAAGAAGCGGTTATCGGAATATTACCAAGCACACCACGCACCGCGTGGGCCAGATCTCCCTCCAGGTCCTCTATGCCATCAACCACGCCGGCGCCATGCAGCAACAGCACGCAGCCATCAAGTGGGCCGGCCGCGGCCAGGCCGGCAAGTATTTCTTCCTTGAAATCTTCGTAAGCCGCGCGCGCCACCGTGCCCGAAGGCTGGGTGGATGCAAATAATATCGGCACCGGCTCTACGCCCTGTTGCAGGCAGGCGTCCACTGCGCCTCCGACGTCAGACTCCTGCCCCGCCGAAGCCAGCATTTTCTGCCCTCGCAGGGTATAAAAGTCTTCTTTCGGCGTCTGTCCCTGACAATAAGTATTCGTTTCGTGAGATATGCCCGCCAGAGCAATTCGCAGCGATTTTTTCTCAGTCATTTTGTTGCCCTTGAATTATTTGTTCCGGACCGGACTGCCACCACCATTGCTCCGGCAGGACCTTTTCTTCTGGCCAGACCTGGTTGAGGGTATCTGCCTCATAGAGCACCCCTCCCTTCATGACATAGTTTAGCGCTGTAGTATGTTTTAAGTCGGTTCGTGGATCCTGATCCAGAACCAACAGGTCTGCCAGCTTACCCTCTTCAATGGAACCCAGATCCTGCCCGAGACCCAACATACGAGCACCACCAATGGTAGCCAGCTGCAGCGTCTGCACATTAGTGTAACCGCCAGTGGCCATTGCCCAGAGTTCCCAATGATACCCCAGCCCCTGCAGCTGACCGTGTCCGCCAATACCTACCTGCCCACCTGCCTCATAAATCTTACGCGATGATCGGGCGGCTTCGGCAAAGATGTATTCACGTTCGTGAAACCAGCTGCGGCGCAAGGTGCGCGCGGCGAGATCCCGGTAAGGCGTAAAACGGCGCAACTTGGCATCATCGTGGGGTGAGCGTTGGGTATAGAACCAGTTTTCCGCGGAGGGTCCACCGTAGTTGACCAGCAATGCAGGTGTATAGGCAATCTGCGATGCTGCCGTCAGCTTCACCACGTCATCGTATAACGTGGGCAGTGGGAAGTTGTGTTCCAAACCACTGAAACCATCCAGGACATGGGTCAGATCAACCTTCATGTCGAGGTAACCTTCTGTCGTGGGCATCAGCTTTAAATCGCGTGCTGCCTGAATCAACCATTGTCGCTGCTTGCGGGAACCGGACACGTAGGCTTTTATGTTATTCACCCGATAGAGATCTTTGTATCGCTGTAACACCGCAAGCGCATGGGATTTGGAAGAAAAGTTGTTATCACTGAAAATACCCGGGCCTGTAGTGAAGGCCCGCGGACCCATCATCAGACCTGCATCAACACGATCCTGATCGGTTAACAGATCAACCGTGGCAGGCTGAACATCAATAGCTGTCGTCACGCCATATGCCAGGCTCGCCAGAAATGAAGCATTAGACCGGGTGGGCACGCCTCGGGCACTGCGAAAATGAGCATGGGTGTTAACAAATCCCGGCAGAATATAGCGACCGTTGAGACTGACAGTGCTGGCTTCATCAGGCACGTCGATCTGCGCACGGTTACCCACGCTGACAATTCGGTCACCCTCAATCAGCACAACCGCATCGTCCATGACGCCCGCGGGACCCAAACTGATAACTGTGGCATCCGTCAGCGCAATCATGCCATCGGGTTTATAGCGAGGTAGATACACGTCTATATCGGTCTGCTCAACTGCACTATGTTCTTCAAGCAGGACATTGGCTTCGTTATTTGCCTCAGCAGACTCAGAGGGTTCACCTGCTGAGTCTTCTTCAGGGGTCTCCTGCCGGAATTCAAGGGATGCAAGACTGCGTTGATACAGACGATTACCGACACTCCAATACACCGCGTTGCCAGCATCAGCCCAACCAATAAAATCAGCGCCCACATCCGTTAATTTCACCAGGGGTAACTGGGGTTTGTTGAGCGAGATCTTCTGCAGCGGGACATAAGCCAGCAACTGCACCACGTAAACCTGGCCGGCTTGTTTGAACAGAACATACCCGCCGTCAGGTGAGATCTGCATCATCTCCGCGCCTACATCTTCTCCTCGATTAAAGACACCCGGGCCACTGACTGCCAGAACATCGCGACGATCCGTGCCATCAAACCGCAGAGAGACTAATCCGGCTCGAGACTTACCCGGCGACGGAGGTCGGCTGGTCTGCAGATAAATCCGATCCGGCTCGGGTCCAAAATGAGGTCGATCGTAACCGCGGCCCGGTGTCACCAGATGAGTTGGACCGCCTTTACTGTCCAGCCAAACAATATCTGCGGCAGCGCCTGGTCCGATCTGACTGGCTCTGACCTGACGCTCCTGACTCGAACTGCGCATTGCAACAATCCGTTTACCGTCGGCGGACCAGACAGGTGAGGAATAGAAGCCCGGATCGCGTGTGAGTTGTCTTTGTTTACCACCTGCCCGAGGCCGGGTGCGGTAAATATGGCCACCATCGTCAGCCCAGGATACGTAGGCTAGAAAAGCACTGTCCGGCGACCAGGCTGGCATGGCCGCAATCAGGCCCTGGGGCGTGACCGCTTCGACCTTACCGCTCCTGAAGCGATACACATAAATCCTCGCGAAGGCGGAAAAAGCCACAGCGCTGCCATCCGGTGCGACAGCCGCGTCAGACAAAATGCGCGCTTTTACCGGACCCATGCCGGCTCGGTAACTGAACGCCAACCGTTCGACAATTTCCTTTTCAACATTGATTTCAAAATCAATGGTGCTGGTAGAGCGGTCCTGAAGATCAATTCGTAAAAGTTTGCCGTCTCTCTGAGCGAGCACAGCCAGACCATCCGGCGTAAACGCGTAGCCAGGCAGAAGGTCCCGGGTAAACCTCGATTCCTGTTCATCCCGAACAACAGGATAAGCCAGCCAGCTGTCTGCACCACTGACAAGGTTACGTATACGCAGGCCCGTCTGCTGTTCGTGACGCGTACCGTACACCAGATGTTGCCCGTCGGGAGACAGAATCGGGCGGATTGCACTGCCCTGCGCAGCGGTAATGATGTCTTCCGCACCGGTCTGCAGATCTTTTCGTGCTATCTGCCACAGTGGGAAACCCATGTTGTAGCCAAACCCCCCTGTTTTGCGGGCGTAATACAGATAACGACCACTTGGGTCGTAAACCGCCCCGAGCGCATTGTGTCTTTGCGCCCGCGGCGTATCCGACTTGGGTTTAGCTTTGGTGATCTGCACGCCTGATCCACCGTCGATAGGAAAAGCCCACAACTCAAACGTTCCAACATCAAAAGTGCTTCTGGAAACCAGCACATGCCTGCCGTCCGGTGACCAGGTGGGAGAGGCGTACTCCAGTCGATCGTTGCTGGTGGTCAACTGTCGTGCTGAGTCTTGCTCGAGATCGAGCACCCAGACTTCTTCAGAGCCATCACGGTCACTGATGAAAACCAGAGACTTTCCGTCAGGTGAATATTGCGGCTGACTGTCGAAATGCAGACCTACCTCGAGCGGTGTAGCTGTGCCGCCCTCGACGGGTAACAGATACAGATCTCCAAGCACTTCGAGAACCACTGTTTTTCCGTCAGGGGAAATGTCCAGCGACATCCACGTGGCTTCGTTCAACGTCATGGAAACCAAGCGATCCGACTTTAGCGGCAGTGTTTTGTCCGCATGTGAAAAACAAGCAAACAACAACAGGCATATAACAAGGGTCTTCAAAACAGGATACTGCTCAACTTAAAGCGAAAAAGATTCAACATAATCAGCTAAACGCCTGCATTTGGCCAGCCCACCAAAATGTGCCATTTCATGTTCATCCAGCGCCTGCAGCGACTTCAGTAAATCTCGCTGCGCTAAAGGAAAATCCGCGATGTGTGCAAGCGGCGCGCATGTGATTCGTATCGTGAACAGCAGGTAGCGTTCGCTGCAGCGACACAGCGTCTGTCTTTCACTGCGTACAATCCACTGTTCAACAGGGGTTTGCAGAGAAGGTTCCACTTCATCATGAAACAGCTGGGCATCACCGTGCAGAAACCAGTTACTGCGTGCAAACGGCTGCCCCAGTGGCGCGCGCTCGATAAAACGCTGAATATTGGCGCCTATACTCTGATTTAATCCTGGCACCGGGGCATGCACCTCGGATAACGGTTGACCTATTTTTTCCAACAGGCGCCAGTAACTCGGCGCGCATAAACAAGCCGCCACCAGGCGTTGCTGATCGGTTACATCTATGACACACACATCATCCGCAATGGTCATGGCCAGATTGGCGATAAGATGCGGGAAAGTCGTTGACGCAACATTCGGCCAGGGCAGTTGCCGCAACATGGCATCCATTTCCCGGGTCTGCGCCGGTACCTGTACCACCTCGTTATAGCGCGACCTGAGCTGCTCGAGCTTATTGTTGCGCTCGACCTCACCTGGCGTTGTTGACAGCCACACAGAGGATTCAACAGGTTTCAGGCCGAGGCGACGGGTGCGTACTCCGCCATGCCAGGGTGGGCTGCGCCAGAACTGCTCGTTCACTTCACTCACCGCGCGTTTTATACCGCTCGTAGTTTTCAAAGGCCTTAGCTACCATAGGCCGTTGCTGACCTGGTGGGACGCGCAATGCGTAATCCGGGTCTTTCTCACCCTCCGAGGACAACATGTGCATATGATGCGCGGCGGTGATGTGGGCGGCAAATCCCTGCCCGTCCTGCATCTGATTCACAGCAAGCTTCATCATCCGCAACTGAAACGGATCGTTTGCTGCAATACGTTCGGCATATTCAATCACCGCTCCTTGCAGTTCTGCCAGGGGAACCACACGGTTAACCAGACCCAGCTCTGCAGCCTCATCAGCATCAATGAATCGCGATTCGTAGAGCATTTCTTTGGCTTTACGCGGCGCAACATCCCAGGGCACAGAGAAATATTGAAAATTTGCAGCGAGCAGCAAAGCATTATCTGCTGCGTAAATGATGTCCATCGCACTGGCTACCATCCAACCGGCAAATATGGCATAACCCTGAACACCGGCAATAGTCGGCTTGGACAGATTACGCCAGCGCATGGTTTTATCGACAAAATGTTCCCGGGAATGGTCATACCGGCCGCGCAGCCCCTCCTGCAGCGGGTCCTGCTCGCGATCGGCCAGTTCCTCAGCCGAGCCTAAATCATGTCCCGCGCTGAAATGATCACCAGCACCAAACAATGCAACTACGTGAACATCCCGGTCTGCCTGAGCGCTGGCAAAAGCGGCGTCCATGGCTTCGAGCAGCGCTCTGCTCTGGGCATTGCGGAAGCGCGGGCGGTTCATGGTTATACGTGCGACATGATTGACCACTTCGTAGCGAATTAAGTTATCGTCCATGCTCTGCCCCTCTGGGTATCAGTGATAAAAAGGAGCCACAATGCCAATACTCGATAGACCCGGCGCACAGATCTACTATGAGACAGTCGGTACCGGTCCTGCCCTGATCTTTGCGCACGGCGCGGGGGGCAATGCAGCCATCTGGTTCAATCAAATTGCCCACTTTGCACCAGAATATCAATGTGTCGCCTTCGATCATCGTTATTTTGCCCGCTCTCCAAGCAGCGGACCTATCTCGGTCCATCAGTTCCGCGATGACCTGCTCGCCATCATGGATGTGTTGAAAATTGACAAGGCGCACCTCGTCGGTCAGTCCATGGGCGGCTTCACGGTGCTGCGTACAACTCTGGATGCCCCGGATCGGGTGTTATCGCTGACCTTGAGTTGTACATCCGGGGGTATTGTTAATCCCACCCCAACCCCGGCTATGAAAGCGCTCACCAGCGCCAGCGGCCGAGATACAGGGGGTATCCAGGCTTCCATGTCTGCGGTCACACGCGGCAAGCCCGCCCTGATGCAGCTCTACGAATCCATCAATAACTTCAACACAGAATTTTCCTGGGACAAATTATCCACGCTACTGACAAAAGAGGATGTGGTGCAATTGAACCAGCTGAAAGCCGTTACATGCCCCACTCTGTTGGTGGCAGGCGCGGAAGATCCATTGTTCCCCGAGACTTTGCTGGCAACTTATCTACCACATTTTCCTGCAGGGACTTTGACTGAAATCCAGGACGCCGGGCATTCACCCTACTTCGAACAACCGGAAATATTTAATCAGATCCTGGCAACACACCTGCAGAGCGTTTGAGCTATTCCGCGATTCTGCAGCGGCCCGTGGTTAAAACCGGATTGCAGCGAATGCCGTCCGGTAGTTGAACGCTGTAGTCGGTTGCAAAAGGATTAGTGGGCAGATAATAGTCTGTACTGATCGCCTGGGCACCGCTGGCAAAAGCTGCATCACGGCGCGTGGTGTCTCCCCGCCTTGCTTCCAAAGTATCCGCATCAGCACGCGTGCGCACCATAAACCCCTGTTGTACCAGTCGGATAATCTCCTCCTGTTCAGCTACCGGGTCGTTGATGATCATAATGGCTGCGGCCGGGTGGTCTTGTGCGACGTTGGTGAACATTGGTCTGTTCTGCCAATCCTGCAGGTACATATCGCGTTTGGCGCCTTGTTCGTCAAGAATCAGAATCACCCTGCCGCGCGCCTGCTCCAGCTCAGGCCACTGCAGATTCACAATATCCCGCGGACGGATGAGGCGATCACCCAGCGCTTTTTCCAGCAGCTGATCCAGATCAGCTAAGGCCTCGGCTGTGAAAGCCATAGGCTCTGGCAGGCCATTAATTACTGAGTCTTTGGCATTAAAGCTGATCCAGATTGGCACGTGAGAGGAATTCGCATCGGACCACTGGCGCAACTGGGCCAGGCACAGGCTGAGGGTCTCACAATGGCTGTTCATATCTATCACCTGAACATGACCCACTGAAAAATCGCTGCTTTGGGGCAACACAAAAATATCCAGTTCAAGCTTGCGCAGACCAAGATCCAGCTGTTCTGCAAGGGGAATGTGTTCATATTCAAGCGCTGCTGCGGCTTGAGGATTGGTGCTACGCAATGCCTCAGCATGCGCCGGCGACATAGCCTTTTTATAGCTGTTGTGGCTGCCTACAAATTGCAGCTGATTGATCCTCAAATTATTTTCTTTGGGTTCATCTGCAACCTGCTGACAGCCAGTGCCGGCTAACAAGAGCACCAACAGACTGAAAATCTTAGCTGACACCCCTATATGTCCTCGTCATCAAGCTTGTGACCCCAGGACCGTTTAGCGTGCAGATACCGCTTATTCCATTGACTGACACCGGTGACATGTTTTTCCTGAGTGATATCCCGCAGGCCAAAATGTTGCAGGTCTTCAATCTTTTTGGGATTGTTTGTCAGCAGACGAAATGCTTCTGCGCCAACAAAGTGTTTGATCAGTACAGCCGCATCGGTGAAGTCGCGGGAATCATCAGGCAAGCCCAGCGAACGGTTGGCTTCGTAGGTGTCCTCTCCAGCGTCCTGTAACAGATAAGTTGCAGCTTTTGCCCACAGGCCTATTCCGCGACCTTCATGTCCGGCCATGTAGACCAGATAGCCACCCGCCGCATCAGCATGCATGCGCGCAATAGCGGCATCAAGTTGTGGGCCACAATCACAGCGCTGAGAGCCAAACACATCTCCAGTGAGGCAGTTACTGTGTACCCGCACCAGTGGATTCTCCGTGGGGTTACCCACAACCAGCACACTGTTCACCGCCAGCGGTGAAACCAGATGGGAAAACAGTTGCTGTCCGCCTCTGGCGCGCAACTCCGACGCCAGCGTCTCAACCTGGCTGAGTTCCGTACTGCGCACCGCGGCGTACCATTGCACCGTCGCCTGTGTTGATGGCAGCGCGATGGGCAGTGGAATCGGTCCCAACAGATTTATGGCCAGTTCACCTGGCGCTTCCGGTGTATGCACGTCGATGAGTTGACCATCGGCATCCAGACGTACCAGTTTACCTTCGGCAATCAGACGTTGACGTATTTCAGGATTCAGATAGGTGAACATCAGCGCCCTTGTACAGCCCAACAGACAGGGTTTGCATACCAAACGCTTGAACGGTGTTGTTTCGATTGGATCAATATTTGTTCATACATTCGGGATGATGTCCTGCGCCACGCGCTCCAACACATCGTAGCGGGTATCAAAGTTGGGCAGGATCATAATCTGTTCCAGACCCACTGCCGACAATTGTTGTATCTGTTCTATCAGTGCGCTGCGCGTACCTATCATGCTGGATGCAGCCAGCACTTCCGGCGTGAGAAAACGCTCTTCTTCCTCCAGCACCCAGCAGTTATGCCCAGCGTGAATGCGCTGGTGTCGCCGCTCGGCGGGGTAACTCTCCAACAGTTTAGTATAGTCATCCCAGATACCGGCAAGGGCATTGGGTGGTTGATGGCCAAAGTTACGGAACTGGTCATAAGCGTAATGCACAGTTGCCATAGCCATCGCGCCACACTCACTTTTCACTCGGGGTGAGTCGAGCGCCTCGCCTTCATCCAGAACAACCATAGTGGTTAGCGCGGTGGTATAAAAATCACCCTGGGGTGCTATTTCGCGACCACCATCACGCGCACCAGCCTGCATCATGTGCCAGACACTCGACATGGCGCCGGGATCACCCACCAGCGCCAGCACGGCACCGTCTCCGTATTTTCCCGCCAGGGCCAGCGACTTAGGCCCAAATCCGGATACATACAGGGCAATAGGATCCGCGAAATTGACAAAGCCTTTGTCCGGCATGATATGTCGAATAGGTGACGTCTGCTCTTTGCCTACCGGCAACAGTGCTTCTTCACCTTTCAACAAAGGCACCAACTGCTGCAGATAGGCTTCAAACTCTTTGATCCGCTGGGGCGGCAGCCCCATCACTCGGCGTGCGGTATTACCTGCACCCACACCAAAAAACGTGCGGCCTGGCGCTAACGCATTGATCGTTGCGATGGCTGCTGCGTTGACCGGTGCGGGCCGGGTGCCACTGACTGCAACGCCAGTACCGATCTGGATATGTGATGTTTTATGCGCAACCAACGCAAGCGTTGCATAACAATCTGACCACAACATCTGAGAATCAGCGAGCCACGCATGGGTGTAACCCAGCTCTTCAGCCCGTACAACATAATCCGTGTCACCAATGTGGGACGCTACACATACGCCTAAATCCAAGACACCCTCCGCAAACAGATAAGACAGTTGGTTCTAAAAAACAATGCGCAGCACGCTTTGCGCAACACAAGCAGGCTTGTCCTGACCTTCAATTTCGACAGTGAGCTCGTTTATCGCTTCCAGCATCGGTCCTTTCGCTTCAACACTTAACAGCTTTCCAACGGTACGGATTTTGTTACCAACAGCAACCGGCGACATAAAACGCACCTTGTTCCAACCATAGTTAATACCCATTTTCATACCTTCCAGCGCTGGCAAGCCAATACCACTACCACCGGGCAGGAAGCTCATAATTGACATGGTCAGCTGGCCGTGGGCTATTGGCGCACCGAAGGGACCATTTTTTGCGCGCTCCGGGTCAACATGGATCCATTGCTGGTCAAGGGTGGCGTCGGCAAATTTGTTAATGCGATCCTGGGTCATTTCGAACCAGTCTGTGGGTTCAGAAGTCTTTCCAATCCGAGCTTGCATAAGCTCAACGGCATTATCCAGGGCTGTGTTAGACATGATATTTCCTCTCTCTTTGGTTTATTGAATCTTGTAGCAGATGTCACAGTATAAAGCTTCGGGCGCTAATTTACGCTCCGCTCTACACCTTCCCAGAAGGGTGCGCGCAGTTCGCGTTTTAATACCTTACCCGGGCCTGATTTAGGCAAAGGGTCATGCTGAATGTTGATGCCTTTAGGCACTTTGTAACCGGCAATGGATTCGCGACAGAACGCCAACAGGTCCTCGGGGTCAATATTGCTGTGCTCGGCGCGCGGCACCACCGTTGCATAAACTGCTTCGCCCCATTTTTCGTCAGGGATGCCATAAACCGCGGCTTCCAGTACCGCTTCATGTTTATAGAGCACTTCTTCAACCTCCGTGCAGTACACATTTTCGCCACCTGTGACAATCATGTCTTTACTGCGGTCCACCAGGTAGACAAATCCAGCTTCATCCATATAGCCAAGATCACCGGTCCAGTAAGCGCCGTCTTTCAGCACTGCTGCGGTCTGTTCAGGTTTATTCCAGTAACCCCTCATGACATTGGGACCACGCACCACGACTTCACCAATCTCTCCACTAGGCAAGGCATGGCCAGTTTCGTCCAGAATTCTGACATCAACACCTGGAATAGATTGGCCACAAGATCGCGCACGCTCATCACCCAACAGATTTTGTTCATTGCGCAAGGTAGTCGTTAACGGCGACAACTCTGTAGCGCCATAAACTTCAATCAATTCTGCCCCGGGAAAAGCCGTACAGGTACGACGCAGTACTTCGGTTGCAATAGGCGATCCGCCATGACCGATAGACCGCAAGCTCGACACATCACGCGGGTTCACATGCTGTTCTTCTGCCATGGCAGCAAGCATGGTCGGCACACCCAGCGTCATGCTCACTTTGTGACGCTCAATCAGATCTAACACTTCTCCCGGTGCAAAAGCACCCAGGGTCAGCTGAGCACCGGCGGTCCAGATGGAAGACAACACCCCATTGGAGCCTGCCGCATGAAAAAGCGGCGCCATCACCAACATCACATCCTGATCACTTTGCGGCGCAGAGGAGAGCCAGTGAAACGTGTTTGAAATCAGATTGCGGTGACTCAACATCACCCCCTTCGACTGGCCCGTTGTGCCTCCGGTATAAAACAATCCAGCCAGGTCATTTTCCTGCACGCCAACCCCTAAAGCAGCAGGCTCAGCGGCAAGCAGATTTTCGTAAGCGTCATCGAGGCTGATGACATGTTCAACGATGTCCTGCAGACCTTCAGCAGGCCTGTCGGTCAGCAGTACCCGGGTGCCGGAATCTTCTAACGCATAGCGCAGCTCTGGTTCTGCATGGCGCGTATTCAAAGGCACAATGACCAGGCCACCGGCGGGCACACCCACATAAGCTTCAATGTACTGGTGGCAGTTGTTGGCCCAGATCGCCACCCGATCCCCCTTTTGTAAACCCAGCGCATATAGACCTTTGACCAGGCGCCCGCAGCGATCCTGCAACTCGCTGTAGGTAAAAGTTTTATCCTGATCGATAACAGCTGTTTTGCCAGCGGCTACCTGTACTGCTCGCGCCAGTGGATCGGCAAACGTATGCATATTTCCCCCCTCGAATTTTGAACGCATCGGATTGAAGGGGTATTGTAGGCGCCGCCGAGTATTACTCCAACACCGACAAGTTTTGTGATTCACCCCAGATTTCTGTTCCTGCTGACATTGGCTCTCTGTTTTCTGAGTCCGATCCAACCTGCCTGGGCTTCAGACGGGGTACTGAATCTACTCATTGAGAACGACGTTTTTGTCGATACAGATCGCCACTACACCTCTGGTGTGATGTTGAACTACGTCAGCAACATTAACGAAGGACCCAAACGCCTGCAGGCAATGGGTATTCGTTTTCCCGGCATTGAAGCCGAAGACAAAATGCATGTTGCTCTGTCTGCTGGCCACGAGATCTACACGCCGACAGATATTCTCGCGACAGAACTATTGGAAGACGATAGACCCTACGCTGGACACGTTTACCTCGCAGCTGGCTTCACCACGGAAAACCCGGACGAAATTGAAACCTGGCGTCTCAGCTTCGGCCTGGTCGGGCCAGGTGCCCGTGCGGAGGTCATCCAGAATGCACTGCACCGGAAAATAGGCAGTGACGAAGCCATGGGATGGGATAATCAGCTGAAAAACGAATATGTACTTTCAGTCGCCTACGAGAAAAAGTGGCTGCGCCTTGCCCGCAGCGGCACATTTGGCAAATATTTTCAGGTAGACCTGCTGCCCCATGTCAGCGCATCAGTCGGTACACCTCTGACCTACGCGGGTGCAGGCGGCATGGTGCGCTTCGGGCAGGGCTTAGATCACGACTATGGTCCACCAAGGGTGCGTCCAAGCCTGCCGGTATCACAGTATTACGACCGTATCCGCGGGCCGAGCTGGTACTTTTTTGCCGGCATCGACGGTCGCTTCATCGCCCACAATCTGTTCCTGGACGGCAACAATTTCCGCCGCAGCCACAGCGTTGATCGGCGTTACTGGGTGGGAGATCTGCAGGCGGGGCTGGTATGGAACAACAGCAAGTTCCGGGTGGCTTATTCGTACATTTACCGCAGCCGCGAATACAAAAATCAGGAAGAAAACGACCTGTTCGGTTCGCTGTCTATTTCTGCCCACTTCTAGCCAGCTGCGCTAAAGATTCCATCAGCTGAGTCATCTGCGTCGCAGGTGCCGACAGAGACGCACACAGGTTTGCCGCCAGCAGAGGCTGTGGCATGCCTTGTTGGATGAGGCGGACATCATCATGCAGAAGCGCCTCCCGCAGCGCGGGCGAGATTGCACCAACAGCAGGCTCAAGCTCGAAGCCCATCATATTGTGCAGGCTGGTGAGCAGTTTGGGGCCAACAAACTGCGGGGCCAGAAAATCAACATCAACCCGCTGCACCATGCGCAAAATGGCTTCTATCAAGAAGGCCAGGATCGGGCAGCCGGGTTTAAAAGCGCAGTACGCGTTATGAACATTTTTACGCACCGTGAAGCCTTTGGCTTTCGGCTGCAGCCAGTGTTCGTATCCAAACACGCAACTTGATTGCGGTGCTATCTGCAGCTGTTGCGGAACGCTCACAAATACATCGATATCAACCCAGGCCACCACATCATAGGCACCGCTGGCCAATTCTTCCGACACCCATAACAAACGAGCCAGATCAGCTGCAATAGGTTTACGATGCCCTACTTTCTGCCAATACCAGGGCGGCAGCCTGTCAAAGAACTGATCCCCATCGAAGCGATAGCTGTAACCATGCAGGTCGCACCAGGTCATTACAGATTGTTGACAGACCTCTACCCAACCAGACACACCATCTTCCCTGAAACTCTGCAATACTAGGACGTTACTCAAAACTCAAAATGGCTCGTAGCTATGAACGCACATTGTACGCGTGCTCTGTCAATTATCCTCATGGCTTTAAGTGGCTGTACTACCACTGTCCAGGACAATCAGATTGATCCCACAGATCGTGCGTTACAACTCAGTGCAGACCTGCCCTTCGGGCCTCTCAAGCGCCAGTTGCAAAGCTGCGCCGACATGCCTTTTTATAAAACTGAGTTCTCCATTGCACACAGAGGCGCCCCCCTGGGTTATCCCGAACATACCCGGGAAGGCTATGAGGCCGCCGCAGCGATGGGTGCAGGTGTGATTGAGTGCGATGTTACCTTCACTAAAGACCTGGCTCTGGTGTGTCGCCATTCCCAGTGTGATCTGCATAGCACCACCAATATCCTGCAGACCAAACACGCAGACAACTGCAGTGAGGGGTTTACAGCGGCAGCAACAGATACGGCAGGCAATCCTACACCAGCAAACGCCAGATGCTGCACCAGCGACATTACGCTGGCGCAATATCGGGATTTATGTGGACGGCGTGATATTGTTAATGACAGTGCAACCACTGTTGCACAGTACCTGGCTGACCCCGGCAGCGAACTTGTCGAAAACCCTGTGAGCTGCGGTACGCTAATGACACACGACGAAAGCATCGATTTATTTGATGCGTTAGGTGTAGCCTTCACACCCGAATTGAAAGCGCCGATGGTGACCATGCCGTATGCCGGCATGTCACAACAAAAATACGCCAGCCGCCTGATAGAAGCCTATCAGGTTGCAGATATTGCACCTGAACGCGTCTACCCCCAGTCATTCAACGTGAACGATGTGTTGTACTGGATAACAAAACACCCGAACTTCGGACAGCAGGCAGTGTTCCTCGACCCACGCGGACGGGACCCCGACTTTATAGCCAGCCTCGAAGATATGCAGCGTCTTAAAGCGGCCGGCGTCAACATTATTGCACCACCCATGCCAATGCTGCTGATTGTCGATGATAACGATGAATTAGCCCCGTCACCTTACGCTGAATTTGCGCAGCAGGCTGGTCTGGAAATCATCACCTGGACGTTTGAATCAGGCCAGGCCAACAGCCCGGACAACTGGTTATACGGCAATATCCCAGGCTATATAAAGCGTGAGGGCCAGTCTTTGGAAGTGTTACACGCTCTTGCAGAAAAAGTTGGTATCAAAGGTATCTTTTCAGATTGGCCAGGCACGGTGACCTACTACGCCAACTGCTTCGGCCAGGTTACCGCCGAAGACCGCTAGTCGCTACCAGACCGGCAACGAACAGGCACCACCGCGCAGAAAAGCTTCAATTTCATCACGGCGCTCTGCAGCATCTTCTTCACCAAGCCGGATCAGCAGCGCAAGATATTCCGGCTCAAACATCACCATACTGAGGGCATCTGAAGAGCGCGATTCTTTGTTGTGCAGACCACGTTCAAAGAAACGAAAGGATGATGGCATGGTGATTTCATGCTGCTGCGCTAGCTTGCCAAGATCTTCCCGGGGTCGCAGCACCATGACCTCAACCTGGCGGAGCTCAGAGCTGTGCCCCGGCGGCAGCTGAGAGACCAGACGATTAATACGATTCATCTGCAGCGCGTCATAATCCAACATATCCAGAAAAACCGCGTTCAGCAGAACACTGGCGATCTGCGCCGGTGACGGATACGGATCGCGCATTTCCGGTGGAATCGCGTTCACGGGTTTGGCGCGCGGCGATACCGCCAGAATTCGGGTCGCCCCAAGATGTAAAGCTGGGGATAAAGGCGCGGTCAAACGTACACCGCCATCTCCGTGCCAGGCAGACTCCAACCGTACCGCCGGAAAAAACATCGGTAGCGCTGAGGAAGCCATAATGTGATCAAGGGTCATCTGAGTATCATTGGCGCGCAGCTGTCCGCGCTCCCACAGCAGCGGGTTGTTACCCTCTACCCAGGCAACCGATCGGCCAGAGCCATAGTTGGTGGTGATAATGGCCAGGGATTCAAGCACGCCACGCGCAATGTTCTCCTGAATGCCGGCAATTCTTTCATCTTCGAGCATGGGCAGGTTGTGGCGAAGGAAGTCTCGCAGCGGACTGTTATCCACCATACCCCGCACATCGGCGTTGCCGAGCCGGCCGCCGCTCAGCAAACGCAGCCCCCAGACCATGACCCGCCTGGCCATATTGCCAAAACCTGTGGCATAGACTTTTTCCGTATCCAGACTGAGCCAGATATTGCTCAGCTGTGAAACAGCTTCTGCCCAGCTGCCCTGATGGGCGGCCAGGTGCGCAGCGTTAATCGCGCCAGCAGATATACCGGTCAGAATCTGTGGGCGATAGTCAGGTAATGCCTTGGCGATATAGCGCAGTGCACCCACCTGATATGCTGCACGGGCACCGCCCCCGCTGAGCACCAGGGCATGTTTATCCGACTGTGGGGGCGAGCTTGTTGACATACTCTTTATGTTAACGCCTTTCAGGCGACCCTGCCTGTTTTCCAAACCACAAAAATAGCAGCCGGACGAGCCATTGCCGTATGATGCAGCCATGCTTGGCTTGATACGCAAATTCACGCTGCGGATGGACGCTTTATTCCGACCCCGCGGCAAGGTCTTCTACGGCTGGTGGATTGTTGCCGCCTGCGCGGGCATCCAATGGCTGGCCGCCATGACCTGGATGCACTCTTACGGCGCTTATGCGGTTATGTTGCGCGACGAATTTGGCTGGAGCATGTCCATCCTTTCTCTGGCGTTTGCATTAACACGCCTGGAGAGTGGTTTGCTGGGCCCACTACAGGGCTGGCTGGTTGACCGTTTCGGGCCCCGCCCTATTCTGCTCATCGGCACGCTGATATTTGGCATAGGCTTTTTTGTCTTCAGCCAGGTGAACTCCGTCACCACCTACTTTGTCGCCTTTATTCTGATCGCGCTGGGTTCAAGCCTGGGCGGCTTTGCCACGCTGATGGTATCACTGGTGAACTGGTTTGACCGGCATCGTTCCAAAGCAGTCGCCTGGTCGCAGATCGGATTTTCCGTAGGTGGCCTGTGTGTGCCGCTGATTATTCTGGGTCTGGAAGCCTGGGGCTGGCGAAATATGGCGATTTTTTCCGGCTGCATCGTATTGCTGGTCGCGGGACCGCTTGTACTTCTGGTGAAGCACCGGCCGGAAGAAATCGGTGAAGTACCCGATGGCATCGCCCTGGATGAACACGGCGCGGAACAGGAT